TAGGTAATGTGTACAACTGCATGAGAACCCCTGACAAGACTGGCATGTTTGGTTTATCTGGAAATTCTATGAAAGGATACATCACTCATTTTCTCTCCTAAGGGCAAAATTCACTCCTAGACAGAGGGCCAGCATTAAGCTCCTGTTTTCAACTCCTCTCATGATCTCAAAGTAAGGCTGAAGGGGCATTTGGGCTCCAGTCCTACATTTTTGCCCAGTTGCAGACACAGGTTTGTACCCATCTAGAGCAAATTGCAAAACAATGGCAAAATGAGTATGGAAACTTGGCTTGGCCCTTCTGCAGGAATGAATTTCAGCCTCAATACGTTGAAAGGCTAGACTTGCTTGCCAATGTCGTGGCAGTTTTTGCATTTATGTGCAAACAAACATTTGATTTTATTATTGTTTCCTGTGATAGGACCACAAGAAGCTTTCAAGGAGGTGGGCTGCAGAGCTATCTCCCATTTTACAGAAGTAACCTTGACACCAAACCACCTGTTTTAGTAAAACATGCCTGAGCTACATACTCATATTAGCTACATGAAAACTAGAAATAAAGATGGTGTTTAATTATTTGACAATAATGTTACTAGCAAAGAAGATAACTTTTTTTGACTGGTTTTTCTTAACCCCCAGTACCACGTTGAGGGAATTTCTCCCTTTTCATAACATTAAGAAAAGAAGGGCAGCATAGAAGCAGCAAACTGTCTGGTCCAATTTAAATCTGGTTTTGCTGTATAAAAATGGCAACAGTTTCACAATTATCTGTAACCACCACCTTCATTTAATGGAGATTAGCACACTCTGAAACAGGAAATAACTTGTAACCAAGGGAAAGGGGGAAAAAAAAAAATCTTTTTAAGTTAGTTTTGGTACCTGGGGTCAGTTCTCACCATCCTTACGAAAGGGATTCCATTGACCTCGCTCATGGGAACAGGCCTGAGAAGGGACTGCTCAGGTGGGGTTTGGTGGAGCCAGACCATGCCCTTTAAACCTGCCCATATTTCAGACCACGTCAGAGACAAAAGCAGCGGCACTTTCTGACTGCTTAGGCCTCCTTTTTGGCTCTGGAACTTCTCCCCACCCCGCACAAGCGCAGCCACAGCTTTCCAAACGTTCTCGCCCTCAGCCACAAGTGCTCGCTTCTAAGTAGCTTCCTCAGCTCGCTTACTGATAAGGAATCAGGAGTGCTTCATGCTTTCCAGCTCTGCCTCTTAGGGAAAGAAAATGTCAAAAAAGGTAGCGCAGCACGAGAACTGCAAGTGGAGCCACAGGCTGATACCAGCGAAATCAGGAACTAATAGGTTTGGGTTTTAGCATTAACTATGTGCGACTACATATGTTCTTGGAAAACAGACATCACTGCAGTACTTTTGACTTGATTTTTTCATTTGAAAGGTTCTTCTGGTAACCATGAAACACTCCCAGTCTGGCTCCCTGCATTAGAAAACCAAGTGTAGAGTGGTATCAAAGCATGCAGCAGTTGCACCGCCATGTGGCGGGGTTCCCTGTTCCAGCTGTACCACAGGCCATTGCTCACCACCCCATTCTGCCTGTTACAGAAGTGTTGAACCAGGTAACTCACAGATCACTAAGTGATCCCACTAGTAAGCTCTCAGGCTGATCTTCACGGCCACATCATTAGTGAGGGCCAGAATCCGCATTTCCTTCGAATGAGAAGTTTCCCTTGAAAACCAAGGTGTTCTTACACATAAGCCTACAGCTCAACCAACAGCTCCATTTGGCTTGCAGCACAACATGCAACAGTGCAAAGACCTGGGCTGGGGACACTGGCACCCTCGGGCTGGGAGGAGGAAGGCTAGCTAGCACGGCGGCAGCAGGAGCACCTCAAAGCAGTCACCGCGTCTAGCCGCAGTGGCACTGGGGGATACTGAGGAAAAGGGACTGTAGGGGGTAGAATGCAGCCCAGAGCGCAGGGGCAGGTGAGACTGACCTGTGATTCTGGCTCCCTGTTTGGGGGGGGTCAGAGCCCTCTGGGCTTATGCCTTGGGACGGGGTTGGGTGGGCGAAAGAAAGCCCAGGCTCAGATGCATGGGTTACCCTGCTGCAAAAACACAATATATAATAGAGAGTCTAAGCCAAAAATGTTTGCATCAGTTATAACAACAAGGAAGATAAACGCTTATAGGAAAAGCAGTGCGAACTAACAGAGAGCAGAATTGCTATTTGGCAAAGCACACATTTCCTGGGACCTGTTTTAACACATGCTCCCAGTTAAAATTCAGCTTATTCAAAAAACTTTCATCGTCTTTCTTGGATACCTCTAATCAGTTTTATCAGGCCATTTATGAAAAAGCTGCAGAAACATTTAGCCTTTTGGCATTGCTTCTGTGTGAACTGAACCACTTGCCTTTAATGAAGAATTTTGCTTCAAAACACCTAGAAACAATGTAATGCATCCCAAAAGAGCTTTAGCAGTCTCTGCAGAGCCATACTCCCAGCAATGCCCTGTGCCATGGATCTGCTGTGCACAAGGGGATGCACAGAGGTGTCACCAGGACACATTTCAGGAACAGTCGCATGCAGCCCCTCTGTCAGTGCTGTTCATGAGGGCTGCACAGCCCAGACCTTGCTCAGTGCTTAAAAGAATGTCATTTAAATGACCAATGGCATATTTCTCTGTTATCTGATGCTGTATACAAAAAACGTTGTGCACAGTATGTGCAATTGCTACAGACCAATGAATACGTCGGATACTTTTGTAAGCAAGTGTATTAGTCTGCATCTGAACATTAAAAAAAAAAAGAATTCTGCACAAGGTATGGCACAAATGAATGCATTCTTCTAGTGGGAGATCCATTTGTCTCTGATACTAACAAGAGACAAACAGCATTCCTCCCTGTTTTCTGTCTCAGTAAGTATTCTTTGCAGGGCTTTAGGTGGGCTTTCTGTTTCAAAACAGATTTTAAGATTACTCTGTTTCCCAGAGAAGATAAGAAGGTAAATTTGGGAAAAACCACCACGTATTCTGAGGCATCCTCAACGCAGCTGACATATTTATTTTTTATGGATATGTTGGCCACAGTTAGACTTTCCTCTGTCAATTTTCCCTTCTCTCAGAGCACATTATCTCACTGACCAGACTGCTGTGTGCCTTGGGCAGTTCTCTCTGTTCCCCACTGAATCTCACAGCACATCGTTGGTGCAGTGAGAACTCTGTAAGTGATAGGTTTGCCAAGGAGACTCAGACAGTCTCATGCAATCCAGGACAGGCCCCATCATAAAGAGCCTCTTGTCTCTGCAGGACAGAACGTGCAGTGCTACATTTCTAGCTGGGGTAGCACCAGGGGCTGCTGCTGGGATGAGAGGCACAGAGAGAAGCAAGAACAGCTGAGAATTAGGTGGGAATTTAGGAGCACTTTCAAAAAAAGAAACAAAAAACAATGGTGTTGGGAAAAAGATTTCTAACTCACACACTGTCTACCCAATTATTTTGCACTCTAAGGATCTTGGAGTAAATGTATAGCAGGCACAGAGGAAAAAATATGCCCATTAGAGGTTTTTTATGGCTTTCACTGAAAGCTATGTTCTTCCCACACAATTTTGTTGGGATAAAAAGAGCTGCTCTGGTCTTATTTTTTATGGATCAAATCCAGCTCCAGTTTGCAACTCTGCTGAGCAATAGAATAATGACATAATTAATTTAACCGTGTTGTTTTTATAAATCTTGCTTGAGAATTCAATTAGAAAATGAAGAAAAGCACAGGACAAGCTTCTAAAGAAGAACTTCCAATCTTGTTTTGGTCAGATTAATTTCACTTTTATCAAACTGGCTCATGTGAGGAGAAAAGAAAACGAGGAAAATAACATTCCTTTAAGGGCTTATCAGCACTAAAACCAAGAGCACAGGGGCACTTGATAAACTTCTCTAAAGGGCATGGGGCTAATATTTCTGGTTCCACGTGACCATTTTGGCCACGTAATGCGATAATTACTTTGTGCACCAAACTATTATTTCTGTAGTTTGGAAGACAGAATCTTCCGTGTGAACGTTTCTAAGCCTACTTGATTCAAGAAAGTTCATTGCAGGTGGAAGAAAAATTTCGAAAAGAACAAACTTAACTCCCCAAATCGCAGAAAACAGGGCTCAGAGAGGTGACAGCAGTACTAGTTCCAGCAGGGTTGGCATCAAGCCTGCTTGCCCGTACAGGTGCAAAGTTAGTACTAATGGTACGAGAAAGGGCACTGTCATTGCTGTCATGGTCACAGAGGGGTCATTTCTGTGGAGTGTAAGTGCTGAAAAGCCGGCCAGTGCTTGACACGCCTAGAGATGATGCTTCCAGCCATTCCCCATTCAGTCATGAAAGAAGCCTGAACCAGTAGGATTAAGTAAAAGGCTCTTTCCCCGTGGGAAGCAGTGAATTGATGGGCTCTTCAGTAAATGTAACTACCACATCAATATAGAACACCATATAAGTCATGCTGTAGGGGTCTGTGGATCAGCCACATGGTAAGGACTGCCATGGCTTACTCAAGACTGGCTCTTTCAGTTTTTGCTAGCTTACAACAATGAACTATGAGATACTCTTAGAGAAGATACCTCCCCTAAAGACTCCAGGCAGGTTCACAGAGATACGAATCGCTAACTCTGCAATGGTCCAACCCATGGTGAAGACAAGGGTAGGAAATGAGTTATCAGAAATTCAATACTGAACCAGGATACACTCAGCAATGGCAGTTTACTGTAGATAACGGGCTGTAGTGATGGTGCAGGCTGCCACCATCATTGGGAACTGCTATGGGAATGACTGTGAGAATGCCTACACAAAAAAGAAAATTGATAGATAACTTGTTAAAGAATACATAAAAAGAGGTTGAAAGCCAAACCATTACCAGATCAGCCATTATCAGTCAGCAATCAGAATGGGCCACAGGGCAAAAATGCTTCTGTCTACTTTTCATTACTCTTTGTCTTGGTCTACAAAACAGAAGTATGAAAACTGTACTTTTAGGCTTTGCTGTTGTAAATTCAGACTTACTCAGTTGAATTAGACCGTGGCCTAAATCTTTTGCCTCTGACTTTCTTTCTGTTTCCTCCTATATTACCTGAAAGAAATCAAAGGATAAATACAGGTGGTAAAATATCTTGAAACCAACCTATATTCCATTCCAAACTGTATATTCTCTTTGCATCCCCAACAAGTCCCTAGCTATGACCATTTAAAAGCCATAAGTCAGTCTCTTTTGAATTACGTCAGACTGGGAAAACTTGATATTTAGGTGATCTTCCACTACTTACTGTTGCAACTGTACAGAGCTGAAAACTATTTAGTTTCAGCATTCACTTGAAAAAAATCACTTCAAGAAAAAAAGATACTGCATAATAAAAACCATGAAAGCTGGCAAATGTGAGTGGACCTCTTGAACTCTCATGTTGACTCACATTGGAGAAATAGCAGAAATTAGATCCAATTTTTATGTGATAAAGCTTGTGTGGGGCACTGCTAAATCCTAACTCCAGGTTAACAATAGGCAGAATTTTAAGGAGTCATGCTGCTCTCCTAAGATTACCTAAGCATTCAGAGAGCAGCAATGGCTTCCACTGTGACCAGTACAAAGGTTCACACTTACCTTGCCAAGAATTACTCCTAGGCCTCCCATTTTCACAAATGTCTGAAATATGCTTTGTGTCTGGTATCCTTTCACTCCAGGAATGAGATAATCCATTTGACCTGGAATAGGAGGGCTCAGATGCAGTTACTGTTACGGGTGTATCCTCAACACAAATGCTAGCTCAGCTGTTCAGAGACAGCCACATTGCCAAAGTCAGTGTCATAACACAGCCTAAGGTCTGTCTGCACTAGCAAAACTGGTCAGAATAGATGGCTTATTTCTTAAGAAGTTTTGCTTAAAAGATGTATTTCTGTGCTTTGTAAAAGTCTGAACACTCTTGTGTTCTTCCATTTCTGTTCTCCACGCAGTGCGGGCATCTGACAAATGCTCTTCAGTTTCCAGAAGATAAGGCTAATCACAGGCACACTGAAGTAAGCTCAGGGCTTTATTAATGCTTTATTAATTCAAACTTATATGAAATATAAAAGATCTGAGAACTGACAGATCCACTGAGAGATTCGGTAATCATTTTCTCCTCCTAAGCATCCTCAGGTCCAGGAGTGGCTTGCTACGTACTGCCTTTGCTGTTTGCTATTTTACAACAACAAGAATTATTATAAATTTATACTTTTAAATCTTTGAATGCCTGTGATACTAACGCTTCACAGGCTTTTCCAGCAAGGAAAAGCCCAGGAGGCTGATATCTCAGTCATGTGAACACCTGTGAAGAGATGCCATCAATGTTTCCATCCAGAGCAAATCACAGCCCACTTGAAATGTAGGAAATAGTCCCTGGGCATTGAAATGGTAGCACTGTGACAGGTCCAGCACAATGTTAACAGAATATTTTTCAGGCTTGCTTTTTTGGACTTGACAGTAGCACAAAGTATCTGAACTGGTGGCAGGCAACAAAAAACCTCTCTAGTACAGACAGACCTTAGAAATCATTAGCTTTCCAGAACAAATAATAAACAAAACACATGAAAGAAATGGAGTATGAAACAAAGATACAGGACAAAAGATGAAACACCCTGAATGACGTTCATTTTAAAACAGGTATTTTTCTTAGCTGGAATGCAAGCCTGCTTACACAAACCTATACAAAAATCTGCTTTTCCAAGACTTCTTTTTTCAAAATTTTCAAAATACCCACACGAGAAAAGATTCTCCAACACAAACACTGTACCATTTAAAATTAATTTTTGCTCCTGGAAACAAGTAACAACTCATAAATCTAAAAAGCTGAACTTAGAAATTGGAAATAATTAATTACATACTACCACTGTTTTCTTAATACCATATTTATTAGACCACATGGAATTAAGTTGCACATAGTTTCAAGCCAATATACCTCATGGCACTGCAAATGTACCCCTTCCATATATTTCTCCTTATTTTCTTCAAAAATAGCACAAAGAGAATGGCTTTGCCAACTGCACACGGAGCTACTGACTGCTCACTGAGACAAGAACTGAGATTGCAGTTGACTTATGAAGCGGTTCAAGAATGTCCATCTCTGAAAAGACATTCACAGCTTCTTATAAATTGTTTTACAATGCTGGCTGAAGATTTTCTTAATTAAAGCATCTCTGACTACAGAGGGACTTAAAACATCATAACCTCAGGACCTCAGCAATTATAGAGGACTCACAATGTTTTTTAATGAATTTTCCATTTTTAAATACTTACTTTCTTTTGTAAATAGTCAGAGCAATAACAGAATAAGTGAAATCTGTGAAACAGTGGAAAAATCTAATGCCCTCTTTGGTTACTCATAGCAGCAAGCAAGAAACTACAGAAAGTCTTTGCGGAATCATTTTTAAGACAACTCTTGGCAGCCATTTAGTACATTAGTTCAGTAAGTGAAAGTGGAATAAAATGTAAGTACCATCATCCTTACTATGAGACAGCAAGGATAGTATTCAGAAGTCTAGGTCAACTTAGTGAATTAATCACACCAATAAATAAAGGTATAAAAAGAATTTACATTTATTATTGAAGCAAGACATTGTTCCTTTTCTTTGATTACATGACAAAGATGATAAAAAGTGTTTTTAATTTAAATATTTTTTTATTCAGCAATTATTACCATAGTCTACTTGAAAGCAATTTTCAAGCAGGAACATGATGAAAATCGGACTGCCCAAATTTGGTTTCCATTGGAAAACATGTTTATTCTGGCCTAATTGTAATAATTAGTAGCTCAGGACACGTGAGAAAAATCAGTAATCAAAGCACAAAGGATGCTAACCGTAACATTCCACAAAGAAAGAAGAAAGAATCAAACCTGCTGCAAAACAATGAAATGTTCTGACTAATGGAATAATGGGTGATGGAACAGGTAGAAATCTGAAAATGCGACAGAAAAGCAGACCTCTTCTTAGAACTAGATGCAGAGTTTGTGCTGACTCCAGGAGGCATGTCGCTATAGAAAGAGTCGGCCTCTCCGGGCTTTTTTACATAATCTCCCTGGGGTATTTGTCTGAAGCATAACAAACATCGGAGAGTCAGAGAACATGGCAGGCATGAGTATGCAGACAAATGCACACAGATATCAGTTTCAAGGAAAGAGACAAGGACCATGACCCTCAAGGAAACCTGTTAAACACATACATTCAATCTATGAGAAGTAATTCAACTACCCAAGAGAAAACTTCTGCATATTTCTGACAGTTCAGGAAAGGGAATGATGTGGTTTTAGGAGGGAAAAGCAAGGAGCACTTCACTGATAAACTCTGATCACTGTTTTTAAAGTTGGTGGTTCTTGGGATGGTGGATACCTAAGCTGAGACATTTCAAGGTCTCATTGTGAGGGTTGTGAAAGGCACCCCTGGCAGAATGCAAGCCTGAGTCAAAGAGGAGTTCAGGAAAAGTGAGAGTGTTTTTCCCTCTGGATGATTACTGAGATAGATGCCTTCTTTTCCATTTTTGTGACTGCTACTGAATTCAAAAATAACAATAATGAGTTGTTTAAACTTCAGGAGGAAAAAGATCTCCAGTCCACTGATTATCCTCATGTCCAAAGGAATTTATGCCAGCGCCAGAGCTTCTCAGCTACTACTGATCACCACTACAGATTCAGTCTGCCAAGACATATAAAAGTAATGCCGTACAAATTTCAGAACAGTTCATCCTTTTCTACTGCCAGAGGTGTGGTTTTGGTCCACAAAACAATGCGTTAGGAATTCTCAATCAAGTTATGCCACTTTTGTTCAGGCAGTAAATTGATTGCCAGCTGAAAAACTCCAATCTCAATATTCCAGTTACAGTTCCACCAAGCCAGAAAATACAAATTGCTCATCTGAAAGCTGGCTACATCATAATACCAGCAGTTCAATTATCCCTGCACTGTCCAAGGATTTTTGGCTTCAGTTTTCCCCCTATCAAGATGCACATTTCTCAGAAGATTGATTCATCCTTAGATTATGTCCAACTCCAGACTGGAATTGGTGTCTCTTCATTCCGGGTTTGAATTTATAATGGTCCTGAAGTATTTGAAATATGAAATCACTAATGTACCACAGTACTTGCATGTTATTTCTCTAACAGTTCTTGAGTTTCCATTCTTCAGCCACTACACCTTTTCAGTACTGACAGAGTATGCACAGTTCTGCTCCCCAGGGCTCCTCTAGCAAAGTGCTCTCTCACTGCCTGGTCAGAAATAGCTGCTCCCATACATCCACCTTATCCCAGCTGACAGAATCCTTGCTAATTCACTCCTTTTGTGACTTTCCAGTTCATTGTTTCATTTAGCACTATCAAATACTATTCCTTTAGTAATGCTTCTTTAAGTAATATCTCAATGTCTTGTTTTCATCTTTATTTAAGGACTAACAATAAACAATTTTTAAAAAAGAGACACTGAGGTAGATGCCTGTTTTTAACGCTTGTGGGGCACTCTGTGTACATATCCAAAATAATTCTATTTAGAATAGACAGTTCCACAGAATAGTTCTACAAACTTCATTTTCTTCATGAAATATCTCCGTCCCTCCATCACCTCCAAAAGCTGTAACCTATACTGGTTTCTCTCTGTTCATGCCCACAGACATAGCTGCAAACCGACCACATCCTTAGGAAATGTGAAAAACATGAGATTCTCTAGTATTCCAGTGCTATTCACAGGAGGTAGTCTCTTCCCATACTTAGAGGTCCCTTCCGTCCTCTGCCAACGACAGAATAACTCAAAGGCTATGTATGTGTTTGTGGATGCAACATTCACCACTCAGCACCACCGAACTCCCAAATTCTTCCTTCCTTGTGCCTGGTGACATTTCCTACCTGCCAGTCCAACCATAATGCTTGCTTTGACTTCTTCTAGTCACTGTTTCTGTCTTCTCTCTGAGCTTGTTGTGCACAACATAAAGCTACCAGCACTTTGCAGAGTTTTTCTGCTTTTTGTATTTTAAGTCTGGCAGAGAAAGCACTACACAAGCAGAGGAGGAGGAGAACAACCACAACAGGTAGCAGCAACACACAAAGCAACAGCTTGGATCAGGGGCTGGTAACATGGGCAGAAAACAGGAGAATTTGAGAAAATGGTTCATCTGCAGAGGCCTGTGAGAAGCAGCAGATCTCCTTGCCAGATTGGTTTGTGAAGCAGATGATGGTGGTCTTCTGGGAGCTGAACCCCAAATCACTGTTTGAGTTCTGGCCACCAACTTGAAGTGTAAAAGCTGAGGCCTCTTCTGAAGCTGGTGCTATGATTTGGTTACAAATACATCAGCAGGGTGGCTGTAGGGAATGGGCTCTCCTTTCACACACTGATTTAATTGCACAGTACTTTGCATTAATTGCAAAGAAGCACTGGAAATGAATTTGTCTCAGAAGGCTCCTAAATATCGTGTGAATATTAATTATTCAATCCTCAGATCTCAAGGATAATTTCATCCCTAATAGCAGATTTTCAGCCTTTTACTGGAAATACTCTCCTGTTTTCCTAAAATGCTCTAAGAACTAAACATTACTTTTGCTAATGAGTCCAGTGAAATTGAGATTTCAAGCAATGTGTACAGAATCAACATTAATTTTATATATTCAAGTAAATATTTCTTAAAATATGATAATTCATCACCCCTATATTTTCTTTGCAGCATGTAAATGAGCAAGAACAGATATTTTCAGAATTTTCTAGAAATACATTCCATTACTTTTATCACATACCTCTGTCTTCTGTAGTTTCTTTCCATAAAAAAAGAAGAGAAAGAAATATGTTTACATTATCAGTATGCAGGCACACGTAGACAGTAAAACATATACAGAATGGAAATTTCGCTCAAAATTTTTCAACAAAATCCAATTCTGAAATAAACATCATCATAAACAAGAATAAACAAGGAAAAACACTCATGTTGACGGAAGACGTCAGCACTGACCTGGAAGTGCCCTTCATGACAATTTTAAGTCTATTTACTGTGGTGCTGCTGATGAATGGTGCTCTTTTGCCCTCCACTTCCAAGAGCGAATCTCTCTGGCTAACCTCCAAACTAGCCCTTAACTTCTGGAGCTGTACTCAACATAGAAGCTCAAATTTTCAAATACCTCCAGCAGCTAACGTTGAACTATCATGGCAGCATAACCTGTCCTTTTACTGTCCTAATCCTCTGAGCTTTTTTTCCAAAAAAAGCCTCTTTCCTTATGTATTCCTGGCTGCCCTCAGCCTACCTCAGAGTAATGCTGGGGCAGGGGACATGCCAACTTGTAATGCCAAACCAAGGGGCTGGGTCCTGGCCACAGCACTGCCTGCAGTGCAGCTTGCCTCAAGAGCGCGCGGAGGAAGGACTCTGACAGTCACTCTCACTCAAACACCAGTGGCTAAATAAGCACCTGACTTTTTGTAATGTATGCAAAAGAACTACACTTTCCTGGTTTTAGAAGAAATTCACAGGAGGAGAAATACTGAAAAAGAGCAATCAGATTAAAACAATCCACTTTGACCTTTAGTGAGCAGAGTACTTACAGTTCTAGATCGGGAAAGAAGTCACAACTTATTTACACACTGCAGGTCTTTCTCACAAAAAAAATATGTTTGAATTGATTTGGGGTTAAGCTGACTGAAGGCAAATATCTGTTTAGGGAAACCTAAGGCTTTACTGTCTGAAGGCAAATCTTTCTAAATTTATTCTGTCATTAGGAAAGATTTGTAAATGAATCAGACCGTAATCTGGCATTTCCTTAGTTAGATGCAGTAAAATTACAATCTGGCCGTTTCCAATAATAAAAAGAAATAGCAAAAAAAATAGAAGAACAAAAAAAAAATCTTTCAAACCTGGACCAAACCCTCCAAAAGCAAAATCACATATACATGTAAGAATCCTCTGAGAAATGCTAACACTACAAAAAATGATACTGTACAAATATAATCAAATCTGGATTTCTTTAGATGATGTTTGAATGTTTGTTTCTATCACAAAGTAGCCAATTATCAGATTAAATAAGCATATTTTAACTAAATTAAGAAGAATACAATTTACTTACTTGTAACCCCACGCAGTTATCCCTAAAACGAGAGCCAATACTAAAATGGTGCCAGCAATTGCCCCTATTATTATGTTTGTGCTAACAACACCTAGAAACACAAGAAAGGGGAAAAATATGCACTTTCATGATAAAATATACAAGAACAGTAAATTCAACATCTCTCAAAAATCTTGAACAACTTGCACTCAGATGACTAATTGTAACCAGCAATGCCATCTTGAAGTATAACACGGCCATCAAAAGCTCTTTTGTATATCAAACTTTGAGTTCTATCTGCTTCATGTAACTGAATGCTTGCTGCTTGGAAATTTGTGCCAGGTATACCAACATAATGTCATCAATACTAAACTACTGTATTGCAATTGTATCACCTGTCTAGTAAACAAATGCTTACATGGGAATAAAAGGGACTCTTTGTCTTTGTCTAAAACTTCCCCATTGCTGAATAAACTAAAAAAGACCAGAAATGGCATTCTGGGAGACAGTAAAACTGCCCCATAGAGCAATTTCTAATGACTATATAAAACATTTACACTCTCATTTTTCTCCAATTTATCTTCTTGTATGCAAGTCTCAAGAGGAAAAAAACTCTCACTCAAAAAAATGTAAAAGACTAAAATTTTGTGTCAACAAACTGCATGTTTCCATGTAATAAAAAACTGACTCTACAAACAAAAATGAAATGTAAGAAACTAAACCTTTCCACCAGGATACAAAAACAAGTCAATTTTTGTTTGTCCTAACCTATCAATCACTTAACCAGGTCACTGAAATGTCTGGGGCAAGCAAAGCACAACTAGATGCACTGGTGACAGTCACAAGTGCTGCACCAAATATTCATGAGTGGCACTGACAGTGAGTGCTTCTGCTGAGCAAGGAAGAAAGGGGATAAGGCTCCTACCGGTGCATCGTGTTGCATGCTGGCTGGAATAGTCAGAGAGCTAGTTTTGCTTAATGAAACTTCCTCAAATCCAAGCTTTGCTAATTTTTGTTAAAAAATTATAACTACATACCTTTGTTGATGGCGTCTTTATAAAAAAATACATCATCTTTGATTCGAGAACTGCAGTCATCTCCTCCCCAGAATCGGTCACAGACACACTTTATTTCATTGCTACAAACCTGCAGCCAAAAGTGCCATTCAGAATCAAATAATAAAATTAATCTATTCCCATAATTAAAGTACAGAATAGGTACAGTTAGATGTGCCAACTTTAACTGCCTGCAAAATTTTGCGTAACGTTTTTAATATACTGCAATTTTTAATTTATGTATTAGATATAAATATATTAAACGCATCATTACACTTTATATATGTATTATATTGTAATATATTATGTAATATATCACATAGTGGGAGATACTGAGTACATTAATAGATTTTTAATTCAATGTATATTTAATAGAGCCATCTAAAATTGCTTTAGGAGACTCAATTATTTTTTTAATATGAAAAAGTGGTTAATTTCAGATAATAAAGGGAGTTCTCATACAGTGCAGGAGACAAAAGGCATTAAGAGAGAACAGTTCCTTTGATCTCAGCCAAGCCACAGGGACCTGGACACTCTTTCAAACTGCGTGAGGGACAAAGAGATTTGCCAGGGCCACAGCAAAGCCATAGGCTCTGCACTGACCAAAGACACTGACCATGAGAGCCAGGAGCCAGTTCACTACTCCATTTTCCAGTGGGAATTAACTCTCAGCCAACAAAATCAAATGACTTTATGAATTTCATTGGCTGTTGACACAACAGAAGTAATTAAAGAGAGCACTTGGAAGAACATAGCCCCTCCTTTCTAAGAAATGGGCAACAAAACCTTTATATCCTTCTGAATGCTGCCCGAGGCAATACCAAGCAAGTTAGCTCAAGTGATGGCTGGTAAGATTTTTGTAAAATTAGTATCTACTTACTGTGACTTACTGTGATGCTTAGACTGCAGCACATTATGTTCACTGATAAGTCTCCTACAGTATAGACTTCTAGAGTCACGCTGCTGGCTTCATGAAAGGTCTAGCTACTCTGCTACACAATACTGTATACTTAGCCAGAACGGACAAGAGGAATGAAGAGTATAAGAACATACACCATGTCCTGAACAGATCTGGGTGTCTGTGGTGCCCGGGCAGGTGCTGAAGTTGAAGGATTCGATGGGGAGGCAGCGATGGTCAAGGCACACCATATTTGGCCCACATGGCGTCCCATTCTCCACATAGCCCAGGTCCGTCTCCTCATCAAGCTTCACATGCCCACCACTGTAAGACAAGCAGGAAGATCTCCAGAGACTTGTGCTTTTACCAGACACCCAAGAAAGTGCTCTGGGCTGCTTCATTTCTGTCTGCATTATGCAATGCACAGGACCAGGGAAGTGTATGCACTAGCTAATTTATCTCAGCAGCCCTAATGTGAAGCAAAGCAAAATGGAGTATATCTACATCAAAGAATATAATGATGAAAACAACATTTTTCTTGCATAAGAGTTGTAAGAAACACTGAATTTAGTTATGCAGAACTTTACTTCATCTTGCTGTGAGAACATACCAGGTCTGTAACTGGTATTAAACTAACATATGGCAATGCATTAAGCTGCCAGTTAGCTTTAGCAGTGCAGCAAATGTCTAAGTATTTTCAGCAAACTAAACATGCTACAAATATTAAAGAATGTAGTTTTGAGAGGCCAGAGAAGAGCATTATCTCTCTACTGGCAAAACTGACAGCTACACAAAGGGGTCTGCAAAACAGCTGTGCTCTCCATACACAGTAAAGTTTCAGAAGGTTAAAAAGTTTGAGCTGGAATAATGATTACTTCTTCATGGGACACTTCTTATTTTTATTTTTTTATGTAAACAGTTCTCGACTTCAGAATGAGAAACATCCTTTTCCAGGCAAGATGTATATTGACAGCCCTATTTTCAGGATTTCCAATTACCTGCAAGAGTAGACTTTACCAAACTGCAAGACCGATGAAGTGATTTCACCATCAAGTTCTCCAAGTCTGGGCACACTAGATATGTTCGAGCACAGAAGGTATCCACAAAGCACATCCCTGCATTGAGAGAATAAACAGATACTCACTTTTGTGAAAGAAAATTCAAGAAAAATGCATGATGAAAAATGTGTTTTTCTTCACTTGCTTTTGCAACATATTTGTTATTCTTTGCTTTTTTTCTCACTGACAGAACTGCCATAAATAATGTCCTATTTCCCACAAAAATTATTCTCCTGAGAATGAGGCTTTTTTGTGATGTATTATCAACAATGCCCTGCAAATGAAGAACTGTCAAGAACAAACCACATCAAATTGATTTAATATCCTGTTAAGGTTCAACAGCTGTCCCATGGAGAAGCAGTAGAAGCGGTCTCTGACATATGTTAAGGAATTAGAGACACAACTTTCAAAGCGACTTTAAACTTGTATGCAGGGACTTGCACATTGTCAGACTAGGAGGGTAAGGCCTTTCTCATGTTAATGCATATTTTTCACTTAGGAGTTTGTGAAGGAACAAAAGTAAGGTTACAACATCTGCACAGAGAGCTGGGAAAGGATCTGTAAGCAGAATTAGAATGAAAAAAGAGGACATGCTTCTGCACAGAGGTCTCTTCATGCAACCTTGGGAACTGAAGAAGGGATAAAAATCCCACACCAGCTGTTTTTAAATGGATCAACTTACTGTTTATTGCACTGTATCCAAGAGTCCTTGTCTCTTCCACAGTTTCCTTTCTCAGTCCCTTCAATATTCAACTTCTCATAGCAGTACCTGTCAGCAGCTGACACTTCTGAAACAGAAACAAATCTCTTCTCAGGTGATAAAGACTTTGAAAAGCCAAGCCCTGGGAAACAGGGATGCGCCATGATAGTAAATAGAGCTTTCCAATCTGTCAAATGCAGTATCATGGTCTGCAGATGTGCTTGGGAACTCTGCAAGATATGCTTAATAAGAACTGAAAATTGTTGACAGGATTCTTTTAAAATTTTTGTTATAATTGACCAATTTTATTGACTCAAAATGTCCAGAAGCCACTGAAATTAGTCAATAAATGTCATTATGGGTTCCCTAGGTTGTTAATAAGAAGTTAAATGTAGAACTTCAGTTTCATACAAGTAAGGTAATCAATACTAGATCAAGAGCTGAAAAAGAGGAGGGAAAAACAAAATGAGGGGGAGAAAGGAGTGAGGTGGAGGGAGGAGGTGTTCTGTGTCTCTTTTCATCAAAGCTAACCAGCAAAGCTTGCTTAGGAAGCACCACATTCAGCACAAATACCAAAGGTTTAATATCCTTATAGTACATGCCAGAGGTTTAGATGGGAGATGCTCCCCTGAAACCTCCAGGTAAATTGTTACCATCCAAGTAATCCTGCTGTTTAGCATAGGCTTTCCAAAGCCATCAGTACTTTTGAGCCAAACTCTAAAACAAATTTAAACTCAACTTTCTGTGCCATGCATAAGGAACTCATCTTCAGCAATGCCTGCATTCCTATAATCTCCCAACATAATGAAGCCATTCAAAGAGCTTTTGTCCTGTCAAAGGTTCTTTGTAAACATACCACTGAAACTGTTGCAGTCTGCATGCTATTAATATAAATGTGTAACATGTCTGATGTCCAAGAGAGGTATTATATGTGACCACGTAGAAATTACTGTATGCTTTCAACACAATTGAGTATGTAAATGGCACCTTTTTGTACTGCAATGCAACCTAATTCCTTATTTCCCAATCATAAAATGATCAAACCTCTCTTACAGTTAGAACACTGCTAATCAAACATAAGGCAGTAGAAAATATCTGCTATAGCAATAGAAAAATAACTGCAGATATGCTGTGCTTGGCAAGATGATATACATTTCCACCCAGACCAAAAGAATCACTCATTTTTCCCTTCTTGCATGTGTGGTTCTTGCACATATGCAGGTTTGTTTGAACTGCCAAAGCTTTAACTGAATGATAGCTAAATACACACTTTGCTTGACAAAAGTAATCTGCACAGCCAGTGGGTATCATTTCAGGAAGCCTTGTCTTAAAGAGAGACATGCAGTGCACATGCTGGACTGTGCTCTTCTTACTGAGTGTCCACTGCAATTTCTTTGATCTTTCCTACATTTCAGAATAGGTCACAGCTCTGCCTGATGAATAGCTTATGCCACAAAAAGGAGCAGAGGATGTGTTATTTGGAGAAGTAGGTGATGTAGTCAGCACTAGAACATCAACAGAAAAAAAAACAAAACATGGAACTAAGAAAGAAACAAATAAAGTTAAAAACAAGCATAAAGTTAAGTTTAAAACTGAGTTTAAAGTTCTAGGAGTACCAAAATTACTCAAAAGAAAAACTAAAATTCAAGGGCAAAAATCAAAATGGAGCAGAGTTCTGGATCACAGCACGCAGTCCTGGTTGTTTTCAATGGGCCTGAGCATTCATTTTCCCATAATTTTTTCTCAGGAAAAATTACTTTTCAAGCCACATGAATGATAACCAACTTAGAAATTTTATTATTTACTCACTTTCACCCCAGATATATTTACACTGTCGGTCCCTGGTTTTACATCTTCCTCCAAAGCAAATGCCCTAAAAAGAAAGAAAATATATACAAACAACTTCAAATAATTTGCTTATCAAACAAAAAAAAGCATTTGCAAAATATACAGACTTGCTATATTTTCTAGCAAGACAAGTAATACGATCCTACTTAAATGCTTAGCTCCAAAATATGACCTGCACCCAAAAAACAGGAATTTGATGACAATGTCCAAGGTGAATTCCAAAGTTCTTAAACCAAGCTCTATAAGATATAATCCATAAAACCATTAAGAACATAAAAGAAATTGAAATAATTACCTGCCTGTTATCACATGAATATCCATCCATTTTATGAATATTGGGAGAACACTATAGAGAGAGAAAATAACTAATAGATCATTCAGAAATGCTTGGAAACAAAGAGTACAAGTGGCATATAGAATATTATCTCATTTTCATATTTTCCTTCTGAGCTTACACCAGTTTTAATAACAATTTTTATACACTGTACCATATAAAAAAGTAACACTCATATTGACCAAGATACAACAGGCACTTTTTTCATTTCTGGGGTATAAGACCTAAAAATTACCTGACTGGAGTTTCCCGTGCAGTTCTCTGCAATATCACAATCATTCACTGCTTCTCGACACAAAACACCCTTAGGTTCAAACTGAAAAAAAAGGACACAAAATCAATATCTTGGTTTCTCCATGTCATGCCTTAAATGCAATACTTTCTTCACATTTTAACTAAAATAAAGAATGGGAAATAGTAAGGTTCTGAATGAGGGGGGAAGGCTTTCCTTCCCCTGGCAGGCATTGATTGCACCATCTGAGCCACAGACTGTTTGCAGGTGTGAGTGGCACTGCTCCTTGAGCCATCACCTCACCCCCAGGTGATGAGAGCTGCCATGGGCCCCAGGGACCTGTCACACCAACACTGCAGGGGCATTATTATGGCCAGGGCCTCCACATGTCTGTGACTTTTTTTGTTTTAATAAAACACAGAGGGAGAGATACTGATATTTGCGAATTCCTTTAAGACCTAGAAGACTATAATGCCCTAGAAATTATCATCATGGTTATTACAAATTACAAAAATTTCTGCTGTAGAACAGAAACTATTCATAAATATACAGAATTAGGTATGATTTGACACCAATTTCTAATTGAATGGGGCTTTAAGAATGGAAAACGAACAAGTGACCTAACAAACACATTTACAATCTGATTAAAGACTGTGCCACTGACCTGTAAAAGCAGGGAGGCATCCCATAAGGGCAACCATTGGTGCCTCTGGTCACGGACGTATTTCAGATCTCTTATTTTGCCTGAAGGCTTCTTAAGCCTGAGCTAACCAGTTCATTCTACAGCTGCATGGCTTTCTGCTGCATGTGCACACACGTTTTGTTTGGGACAACTGCTAACTCTATGGCTGTTGTGAACAAGTATGTGACTCTAGCACTTTCTCAACCTTAAGTTTAGGTTTACCCACTTGTCTCTGGAAAGATGCAGACAGCAATGCTGTCAGAGATACTATGAGATGCTGGGATGTACACCCACCATGTTTTGTTTGCAATCCCTTTTCCACTCCTGCTTTCAGGTAGAGTTCAGCAGGAAAAGGTAACCTCAAGTTTGGGTACTGCTAGTAAAAAGTCCTTTGAGTTGTCCTGATTAATAGTTCCTAGGGATGTAAGTTTTACAGAATGCTTCCTTTCTGCTCACGCTCCCTGCTCTTTACATGGACAAGCCCTTATCTCATTTGCAGAAATAATGTAGGTACACAAAAGCTTAATTCTTTTTCTAAGATTCTTCAGTGTGGTGCCCATGTGACTTGGATACTTGAACAAAATCCACCCACACTGGCAATCTGCTGATTTTTTTTATATTACATTAAAAAAAAAGGAATGTCCTTAGGCAAATGTGATCTGTTCCAGCCTAATCTGTGCATTTTCTTTTTACCATTAGGATGAGCACAATCAAGAATGTGGTCTGCAGTTAATAATGATCCTCCTGAGGAAATGAAACCCTCAAATGATGAAGATAAAAATATCACACATAGTATACCACCATGGTGTTAGCATCATTAATAATAATTGCCATTATTATTAAATGAGCATCAACAACTATTTGAAGTCAAATTTGTCCGGGCTCCCTTGCAGCCAAGACCTGGCTAGATCTCTTTTATTATTTACGGATGTATCAGGAAGAATATCTTGCAGTTTACATAGGACTCGATTCGTTTTACGCAATGGGATTTCAGTCAGCACAAAGACTAGGGGACTGATAGCTAAGTGAAGTTGAAATGAGGTGTCTTTTAGATGAACATTTCTGAACACTGCTGCCAGGTCTTTTGACTTTTTTAAATCACATCTTCTCTCCGGCCATTTAAGGTACGATTTTCCCATTCAGCCTCACAAATACAGAACAACACAGCAGGCATTATGGGAGTGGCCCCTGAGTAAGCCTGTGCACGTATTATTTCAGCCTGATTCTGAAACCAGAAGGCTTTGATTCTTCTCCACTTCTAATCATACTCTCAAACTGAAGAAGCCAAGCCTAAAACACAGCAAAAAGCCCTGGACAAATCATTTTCCAGCCTGTTTTAAGAAGAGACAAGAAGTACAGATGCTGTGATGCCTGTATCACTGCCAGGATGATGCCCTTACCCGGCACTTCCGACAGCAGAGCCCGTTGCTGCACTGGGAGCCTGCTGTCAGCGTGCAGGTATTGCAGCACTCTCCTCCTTCGCTGGCACACTCCTGAGGAACACAGACATTTGTAGCAGAACATACAAGAAAAACAGATGAGCCCCATAATTCTCACATTCTTTCTTAGCATGCTACCTGTCTATGGACATCTGTCTATGGACAGATTCTTCACCAGGCTGCTAGGCACCTGGAGGCAGAAGAGAGGTTGCACTGTGAAATATGAAATTGCTGCTTGCTATGAAGTATAGGAAATCATTTTCCTAATTCCACAATGTTGCTCATCAAGTTCTGAAATTGTAGCACTGACCAGGTTATACTTCATCATTTTTAAGGACTGTCTTTGCATAGGTAGATATTGTTATTACTCTTCAGAACTGAAGTGGTGATAAAACATTTCTGTTTTATAGCTGGCCTATGTTGTGCCAAACATGATGGAAAAATGTGAGAAGTGAAGAATTTTATTTGCCTCGGGACCTTAGCACTGCATGTCTTCTTCCACTTAACCCCGAGCAGTGATGGGCAGCTAGAGGACCTTGCTGCTAATTTAAAGCACATTGCACTTACTGCCGCTGTCCCACAGTCGCACTCTTCTCCATCTTCCACAAAGCCATTGCCACATTCTGGAGGATCCAGAAGCTGCAGGGCATAATCAGAAATTGAAGAGAATCACTGTCATATTTATTCCACAATTGTCATTTTTTCAGCTAACATTCCAAATGCGTTAACCAAAACACGGTGCCAAACTGAGAGAGAAGCAGAAACAATACAAATGAAATGTGCAGAGACCAAACAACATCTAACTCAGCAGTTACACTGAGTTACATGGTGTGTTCTGTGTCAGACCATCGTTTTTACAGCAGATTCAGTCTGAGCAGAAGTCATAATTATAAACAAAAGGTGTGACAGTAAAAGACAACTTGTGAAACAACTCCACATTATCGCAACAGGAGTTGTAACTCAATTATTCTGGAATCATATGCCCCGGCTTGAATCCTGCAATATACCTTCAGAAAGGATAACCATGAAGTCATTTGAGGCCAGATGGCTCAGAAATGCAGGGAAAGGGGAGAGGCTGGGATTTTTCACCAGTTTTTGCAACAGTTGATTGTTATTTCCTTTTATTTTCAACTATCACAGTTGGGAATTTGCAACATGTGATACAGGCAGATAAGTGAAGCTGCTAAGACTTCTTCCCTTCCTTTTCCATTCAGTCTCCCCACCAAACTAAAACTTAAAATGTAAAAATCTGCATGTTTGTAGTAGCACTGTCCTTTCCCACCCCTCAGCACTCCCCCCAAAAAGAAAGAAAGTTTTCCTTTTGAGCACAGGAAAACATCATTGCGGCTTTTATTACATGAAGGAGAAGGTATAGAAGTGCATTACCAAGTTAGTTTAAATTAGAGTTCATCTCTTAAACAAGGATCATTCTAGAAACCACCCTACTCGTGAGCCACCTGCACAAACACACTGCTGGTGGTGTACAGTGGTTCTCTGGCTGCTGCTTCTCTGCAGCCCACAGGATGGAGCATCACCCTGCAGCCGCCTCGGTGCCACAAACCAGCCCACCATTTGCAGCACACGCTGGCAGCTACTATTAGATCCCCCACTGAAATGGAAATTTGACTGCAATATGCAATTACATTACATATAAGCAAGCAATTATCTGTCACGATTACTGAAGAGTTGTTTTAAACTGCTCGTTTCGTATTTTTCCAGATATCTTAACTTCTTCGGCATCTCTAACTGCGCTGCTCAATACAGACAAGCAGATGGCACAGAGAGAAGAACCCAGCATAAGACACTTGCCAGTTTCCTGCAGTACACTGGCACCACTAAACGTGAAATAAAAGAACAAAAACTGGAAGCAAATTGCATAACTTATCCCCAAAAGACACTATATAATTCATCTAATTGCTTGAAAAGAGCTTATGGTCAATCTGCTCCTGGAGTTGATTTTGGCAATCACAGCTGATATCACAACAGAGCACTGTTGAATGCTGCATTTTGACACATCTCATGTTTCTTGAAAACCACAAGTTGGTGTTTCACCACCCTTACTAGGAAGCACGTGTGCTTGGCAGCCTTGTGAAGTAGACAGACATCCACTGTTTATAACCTCAACACAACCCGAACAGCAATACAGAAAGAGTCTAAATCACCCTGGCTTCTGCATCTGACTTTCACATTTTCATATGCCACTAGAAAAAATTGCAAATGCCAGTAATCTAAATTGAGATCAGAGTAATTGTGTTTTTCAGAGTGACAGATGGGTAAATGAACACAATCACTAAAGCAAGCCCAAGTAAGAAAGCATTACACTATGGAAACAATCCACTCAGCAAAGTAATAAAATGATCAGCATTACTCTCTGTCTGCAATAAACTTGGAAAAAACAAACTTTTGAAATGCAGGAACATTTTAAAGAATGAGAAACCTTGCAACTTCTTACTCAATTACAGTGCTTTCTCCTTACTTTTCTATGTTATTCCATGAAAAGGAGATAACATTTCAGAGATAAGCACACAGTTTATCCAGATGTACCCCAGAACTGACTTTCTTTTTGCATTGTGGCCACCTCAGCCACCAAGTCAATTTTTCCATGTCGTACTGTCTTTCTGCCTTAGCCTCTTTCATCTGCTTTTTTAAAATACAGCCATTAAATAGGGGATAATATTAATTATATGTAGAAAAGACTCAAGATTACTCTAATTAATTTACACATTAACATGCGCTTCAGTAAACGGAGCAGATCTATACTGAAACCCTGTTGCAAATCCTACATCGTAGAACTGCTTACATCTTGGCTGCAGTTTCCTTAGCCCTGCTTTGCATTTATTTCCCTGAAATGTCTCAGTTCATCATTTTGTAGTCTTCGCACGCACCCTGTGAATAAAGCTGTTTAGCTGGTAAAAAATTCAGACAAAAGAGGCAAAGAAAAGGAGATATTCCCCACTACATTTCATTTCCAGTACTCATGCAGCAAGACCTCCAATTTCATTCTTAACAGGCAAATATGGAGGGGATGTATCAGCCATTCAGGCAGCCCTGATGCTTGTGCAGCTCCCTCCCAGCAGCTCCATCGCATCTGCTCCCTGCTTCTCAGGGCTCACTCTGTTGCTCTGCCTCTTCCAGTATTAAAAAAATTAGTCCCAGTTTTCAAAATCGTTTCTGAAAGTCACTGTGAAAACTGTTCCCTCTTCCCAAGAGGACGACTACCACAACCACCTGTAACCAATTGTGGTTGCATAGCTGTGCTCCCCCCACTGCAGAGTGTCTAGATCTTGGAACAGATGTGAAAGAAAACTATTCTTCATCTTCCAAGGATTCTTGCCCAAAGACACCAGTCCTTCACTCTTCTTGATTTCATCTAAGTTATAATTCTCACAGAAAAAAATACTCAAGAATAAGGTGATTCTTACCTTGGTTGGCTTATTGAAAAGGCAGGCTCCACCTCCGTTGTTTAAAAATTCGTGATACTCTTCAATATCACACTTGGAGAACTTGCTTGGTAGATAATACCTACAAAGAAATAAGTGCTTTTTATAGTACATTTTCTTTCTTCAAAAAAAGAGGAGGACAAGTGTAATATATTTTAGAAAAGCTGCTAAAAATACACTGCTCAGAATCAGACGGAAGATATTTGCTTGCAACATTCTTTAAATTTTAAATAATTTTAGTAAATGAGAAACATCTTTCAACAATTACACAGAGCTCATGTACAGTGAGAAGACAAAAAGTTTCCACTAAGTTATTTTATGCCAAATATCATAAATCCTAACAGTCACTGTGTGGTTCTCACAGACATGACCAGTTCCACTACAGGGCCTGTTTCAGAAATACAGTTATTTCTTCCCGTACATTCTGCAGTGGACAACAGCTGCCTTTCTCACACGTGGCCCTTTTAAAGATTGCTTGTACTTCACTCCTCTCTTAGTTGAAATTGCTCTCTTGGCCCACTGATTTTTTTATATAATACAGTTATGCCATGTTTAAATGTGCTTCTAGCAAACATGAGCTAACATTTTAGTTTCCTTCTCTCTTGTGCCCCATGGAATGGATTTCATTTGAGTACCGATTGCCAATCTGAGTTGCACTTAATACCAATCTGAGCTTTAACCAATGCAAAAAGACTTTGAATTGCTTCTTTCCACAGGGAAAGAGTTCTTCCTAAGGTGACTTAAGTGATCTTTATGTTTAGGTCCTATGCTAAGTACCTATGCTTCAAACAGATTTTGGAGTCTCAAAGGCTTCTTAGTATCAGTTCAGTATTGGATAAAACAAAATATTAGCAGAAGTACATCATAAAATAATCCTGCATTGCCAACAATGATAATCTGCAAAACATAATTGTTCTTTACAGTCTCTAGTGTTTATGATTTAGGTCTAAAGACTGCAGAGAATGTGGAATTCGCATTGTTCAATAATAAGCTATGAGTGCATATATTTGTCGTATGCCTAATTATTTTAAAGGTTCAGACTTCAAATAAAGAATGTAAAGGCCATTAGATAAGTAAGCTTTTTTTTTTTTTTTAGAAGAATCAAGAATGTCTCCCCATATCGGCTTTCTGTCATATTGAAAATCAGAAAAATCTTACACAGTTTGCTTTTAGGTACACAAAGTGAAAAAAAGGCACACATTAATATTTTCAGTACTTTGAATGAAATATGCTTTATATTGTTCAAAATAGTTCTTGCCACAAAGCAACTGTGAAATTTGCAAGTGAGATCAAAATTGCTTTAAAAATTTGGAGTACTATCTGTATCTCATAATAGACTCTTGTTTAATTTATATGTATGAAGACAGGTTTGTAATATGGAGAATTAAGTTCTGAATACACGTACTAGGAAGCATCATCAATTTCAGCTAACAGCAGAAATTTACACATTCAGTAGTCCTCACATAAAATCTCTTCAGTGACTATTTTATGTGAGCATGAGAATATCAAACCTCCCATGGGAGCATTTTTTCTAGCATTACCATATAAATTGTAGGATGAAAAATGAAAGACTGCAGTAGAAGTAATAAAAATGAGATATGGGCAAGGAATTTGAGCACAGGATTTTAGGAATTTTGATGTGTCTTTGTTTCCACAATTCAGCAGCAAACTCATGAAAGAAAAGAAGCGAAACATGGTTCTGCTCCTCTGCAGAACCTGGCTTGGCTGTTGAGCTTCTGAGCACTGCAAGTGAAGCCAGTTGTTACTAAAAATCCTTATATCCTCTCATTAAGTTACTTATTCACATATTTATAAGTGTCTATTCTAAGTATATTTTGTAGGTAATAGTTTGCTTTCTGAAAAATAATAATTCACAGAAAAAATTCCACTGAAATGCAAAATACAAACATTTTCATGCTTTTTCTTTATGGCACTGTATGCAGGACATGACCTCCCTCCAGCGAATGTCTTACCCTGTGTCTCCCATTATGCATCCAGACCAGGTGTCCTCACACTTACACTCACCTGACAACAAAGTAAAATTTACATCTTGAATCTTGAGAGTCCAAAGTACATTTCTTATCACAAAAATCACATTGGAATCAATTCTACTGCAGTTTTAAATATAAACTGAAAAGAATCATTTGTTCTTTTATTGCACACCTTAATTTAAGTGTGTCAGTGCACACTGAGCCTTCTTTCAAAATCTATGCATGATTCTTTGTAATCCTGCACCTTGAAAACATGCTCCATGTTTATTTCCTTCCCTTCAGTGAAGCCAAAGGAAACTGCAGTCAGCCTCCAGCATTTGCATATCACAAGGCAGATCTGCCACCTTCTCCCATGTCATTATATTTGATTCCCAAATTTTCAGTGTCAATAAGAGAATCAATAGGACCCAGCAATTTTACTATTTTCCCCTTTTCCTTACAGCAGTTTAATAACATGCAGCTAGAAAATGAATACTGAATATGTAAGTAGCACAGAGCATCCTACGTGTTGGAGTATTTTTCAAAATAAAATTATGTGCACTGCAATAACTTTTGCTTGCAGATGTACCTCTGCATTATGTACTGTTTCTACAATGTCTGAAAACAAAATCCACGGAAACATTTATGTTAGTCAATATAGTAATTATGTTTTTAAATGTAAGGCTTTCAGCGCAATGAATTGTCATATGCCACTTAAAAAAGCACAGTACTAATGTTGTTTAGTGAAAGTAGGGAGGAAGAGCTGCTTGTGGGGATAGAGGACTGACGAATTAAAGCACTGCAGGTTAACAGGCTATCAGGAAGTTGAAACGCAAGGTTACAAATAGTAGATAAATGGCAGCAGCAGAGTGATAAATACAGGAGATTTGGGTAATATAGAAGAGGAATTCATTTAAGGCAGACAGGGAAAGAGATACGTTGTCAAATCCATCCTTCGTAACAGGACTGAGGGGGCTAATCATCATCCCTGAGTCTAATAATGTCTGTCTCTCTACCTCCGCACTGCAGCATAGCAGTCATTCAGTTTGTGGGTGTTACATCAATCTCCCTGAAATGAATGGTGATAGACACCTTTTTAATTTATTTTTAACAAAATGATGGCACCAGTGCTACCAACAATTAGGGCAGGGGGAAATTGTGACATTTAAATAGAGGTAAACCAATGGTAATGTCTCCTCATTTTATTAGAAGTAACAGTATTCCAACATTGTAAGAAACATTACAAAAGAACATGTCAGAGAGACACTGGTAAGATTCTCTTGTTAAAATCTTCTCTTGAGAGGAGGTGAAAAAGCATACAAACTTACCACTTATTAGTTTTCTTCTGTCTGAGAAAATGCCAATATTTTGAGCTAATGTCTGTGCCAGGGTAACTGCCATTAAGTCAGGCTTTCCAAACTGAAAGAAGTAAGTAAGGTAGGAAGAGTAATCAGTTAGGTACACATATCTCTCTCCACACTCAGCACTGCTGAGGCTGCACTTCAAGCATTGTGTTTAGTTTTGGGCTCCTCACTACAACAAATAAATTGAGGCCCTGGAGTGTGTCCAGACAGAGAATGGCAAGAAAGCTGGAGATGAGTCTGGAGCACAAGTCTTGTGAGGAGCAGCTGAGGGAGCTGGGATTGTTCAGTCTGGAGAAGAGGAGGCTCAGGGGTGACCTTATTGCTCTCTAAACTACCTGAAATGAGGCGGTGGCAAGGTTGTAGTTGGCCTCTTCTCCTAGATAACTAGTGTTAAGACAAGAGGTAATGGCCTTAGGTTCTCCAGGGGAAGCTCAGTTTGATGTTAGGAAAAATTTCTTCCCAGAAAGAGGGGTAAAGCATTGGAGCAGGTTACCCAGGAAAGTGGTGGAATTACTGTCCCTAGAGGTGTCCAAGAAACGTGCAGATGTGGCACTGAGGGACATGGTTTAGTGGGCCTGATGGTAATGGGTTGACAATTGGACTTGGTGATCTTAGAATCATTAAGGTTGAAAATGATCACTATGTTTCTATAATCTCAGGCACAGCCAAAGCTTTTTTCATTTAAAGGCAATAAAAGGCAAAATGAGATTCATAATGTTAAAGTAATTACTTCAGAGGAAAACGAACATGCGCGGAAGACTAAACGCTGGCTTACAAATAAGTTAAGAAAGTCTGCTTCTTTTTTTGTTACTGTAGTCACAAGTATGAATGACAGAATATTACAAAAATTACACTGTTGGAAAGTGTATTTGAGCCCATGTCCAACTTTATTCACGTTCTGTTCTTCATTAAGACTTCCCTTCCACAGAGCAGTGCTAAGGCTCTGCATCAGCAAAGCAGCAGCAAGATATTTTGAGGAACTGCACTGATAAATTCCCTGCAGACAAATTTCCACCACTTTTCATCCATCCCAGTACCCACACCTACCTCATTCACACCTCCGCCTTTAAGCAAGGAGCAGATTCCACCAGTGTGAGCTACACCACTTCGACTGCTCTGAAATCGACTCCCCCTTTGACAAAAAGGAACATAAAAGAAAGTTTACCCTGCTCATCCCACAAGTTTTGCACCTACCCATCCTAGTATTTATCTTATTTTCAAATGAGAAACGAGCAAATGTCAGGTCCCATCACTATGTTGAAAAATTATGCAAAAATAAAATGAGAATCACAGATAACACTCACAAAACTCACATGACAGACAGTTTCCAGAAAAATTTAACCATCTTCCCTCCTCATTCTCACATTACCTAATATAAGAAAGCATAAGACAAGATTTCCTATCTCACCATACTTTTGTTCATAGAAGTGAGGCCTGGCACAGCTGCCCACAGAAGCTGTGAGTGCTCCATCCCTGGAGGTGCTCAAAGTCAGGTTGGATGGGACCCTGGGCTGCCTGAGCTAGAGGGGGAGCAGCCCTGCCCATAGCAGTGGGTGGGAACTGGATGGACTTTGAGGTCTCTTCCATCCCAAACCATTCTATGGTCAGTCATACTTTAGCAAGTGGTTTTCTAAGTCCACACTTTGACACTGCTTTGGTGCATGCTACAGAGTGCAAGAGAGGCCGCTGTGCTTCCAGTGGGGGGCCCGGGAAGAAGACACATGTCCAGTTAAGCAATGCAGATGTGGAAAAAAGAAAGGGAGATGCCTTGTGGCTCCCTGATGGGTCAGAACTCCCCAGAACTGCAACTGATCTCATCCAGGTGGCAGCTGCACTGTAAGCCTAAATTTAATGATGCCTTTGATGTTGACCAAGTCAGTATGAATGACTGCCAGTTACTGGAGACAAAAGATACTCTGCACCACTTTAGAAGTACTGATCCAGCCAAGCCAATGCACACTGGTTTTCTCAAAGGAAAACAGAAAAACAACATGGAACAGAACACAATGGGCTAACTGTGCTGAAAGTGGAAGTTGATTTTTAACTGGTGTGCTACCAGAGCAGTCAAGCAGTCACTCGCCCTTCCCACTCAGCCATATTTTACTCAAGGACACAATTTTAGAACTGTATTCCCTAAGTAATCTACAAATACAATATATTGAAATACCAGTGACAGTGGTGTTACACGTAGCACTGGAAATTGTATTACAATGTTATCCAGTGTCCCTGTCACAGGGAGACTGTTACTGTGTCCCTTAAAGACCTTACAATTTCACAGAAAAGGAATAAGAAAGATGTGGGGGGAAAAAAAATGATTCCCATTTTACAGTTGAAGAACCGAGACACTGACAAACTAAAATGTACAAGTAACACTTAGGGATCTAACTTCACATAGGAAAGCAGTGACAGTAATTAAGCATGCGCAAAAAACTCCGAGAGGCTGGATAGTGGTTCCCTACTGGAGTCATGTGAAAATGAGGAGTTAAAGCTAAATTTGTTCATATAGCTTCCTATCTCTCAGCAGAGAGGGATAAGGGCTCCAAGCAGAACAATCTACCTGGCCTGTCTCCTGGGGATAAAAATCTTATCAAGAGCGTCTCTGTTATTTTTTAGATATAGTTTGTTACACCAATCCTATTATCAAAGTAATTTAGAGGTTTAGAGATAATAAAATTCCTTCCAGATTATTATTCTTATATCATATATCTTTCTGAAGGACAGACTGTTCTGAGGATCCAATGCTCCTTTCAGTAATCCTGCAGCATGCAAGTCATTCAACAGAGCAAGGCAGACCAGAGTGCTTCTTAAGCAGGAATCTCATGGGTTTTAAAGCCAATATTCTGCTTTTACACAGTTCAACAGTGCTGCCTGTGCTCTACTACTAAAGAAGTGAATGTACAAGGTGGAACCATGCATCACCCTCCTGCACTCACAGAACAGGTAATTGCACAGGACAGCCAGGAATTAATTACAGTGCATGCAGCTCAAGCTTAATATGTTAAAACTAAAAGGGGAGCAAAACCTCTGGTTGCACTGGCAAGCACATGGTGTGCTGTTTTAACTTCTTCCCACCTCCCCTCAGAAATGTTATTTTCTTTATTATTGTGGGTTATACACACAACAGAAAGGAGACGCGTCAGGCACTCGTGATAAGCAACCCCCAAGGAAAGGAAAAGAAACAGTAAGAAAACATCACACGAGATTACGTACGAAAAAAGGTGAACTGCATCACTTTTCTCTCTGATAAAATCCCTCCTATATTTCATAAACTCACGCAGGGTCACCAAGGGGTTTTCAGATATGGTGAACTTGTTATCAGTAGCCCAGGTTTCCATGGCAACCAATACTATCCTGGTGTTAAGCTGTTCTTTATATATCTAGTACATTAACAGAACGAACAAATAGATTATGTCAAGGAGAAAGAAGGTGAGGTTTACCCCTTCTTTGTAACAGGTTTCATTCTTATATGACAAAATATTTAGCTTGTTCTAACACACTTTAGGTTCCCCCAGGTGCTTCTGTCTCCCTTAAAAGCAACAACAAACATGAAAAGAAAGTAATATCTAGATTTTAGGCCTAATTCTTCTATCCCCTCTCTTATTCCACAGAAAAAATCCCCCTAAGGTCCTGCTCAGGCAGAGGATCATAGAACAGAGGTGAGGTTTTTGACACAATGCTACAGAAGCTTTTCAAACAATTCAAAGATTTGGGGTTAACGGGCATCTTATATTGTCCAGCTCACTTCAGGGACACAAGAGATATCTCTTATGTCAAAAAATCCTTTTGTTTTCACTGCTTTCACCTCTACAGGAGTATTTAACCTCTCACCGGCAGCCATACATTCAATACTGGGGGTTAATACTCCACATTTCAAGAGTAGTAACTACATTCTTCTTTTTTCTAGTAATGCTTTTTCAGAATGAGATGTAAGAGCCAGCAGCTTATCCTGCTTAGTATCAAAAATATAATGCGCGTAATCCATTAGTATGTCCCTATTCTAACTCATTACTCAAATGATTTTCATTTTTCTCTTTTTTTTAAGAGATATTTTAGTGTATCCTAATTCTGGTAATTTTTTAGATTTCAGGTAGACAACTTATAAGCTTGAGTTAAAAACTATCATATCTAAGATTCTCTTTAAACTTCCAACTCAAGATCTATCTGTTAAAGGATACTTAAATGCCACAAAAAAATCTCTAATGCTTTATTTTAGACAAGGGCTGACATGGCTGACTTCAGTTCTAGATGAAAACTGGTAATCTTTGCATTTGTTGTTATTAGGTACACCATAAAATAACAGCTCCTGATTTATCAGAAGGAGAATCATATGATGATCTCATGCGTAAAAGAACATTCAGTCAAGTGATACTTACTAAATCTGCCACGTTCACAACTGACTTAGCATAGCTGTTTGTGTGGCCAACTGATAAGCGGTGTTTTTTACACTGCAAAACAAACACAGATAAATTACAGGTATGGATTTAGAAAACCAAGCTCCTTTTCCCAAAAAGCCCACTAAGTAAAAAGAACTATGCCAACAGGAGAGCCTCTGTGTATGGTTTGGTCTCTTGTGCTGAATGCACATTTCACAACTGTTATAAGGAAAGCATTCTAGGATCTTCAGTGGAAAAAAAAATGCTATGGGAACAGGAATCAATTGTTAACCTCTTTTACTACTGAAGATACTTTTTCATGTACTCTTGTCTGCAGAAACACAGACACAAATGAGCACCATGAGTATGAAGGTCACAAGTATCTTAGAAGAATTCAGGACTTAAAGGCAAAGATTTTCAGAAATGTTTGACCATCTTGTGTCCCAAGATGCTTGATTTTGGAGGGAACGTTTTCTGGAAGTTGGGATCTTTTAGTGTATAAGAAGTGTCAGGCAGTTGGCTGGTGGGAAAGGAAGGTTTATGAGCAGGAATGGAGAGAAAAAACACCGAAAAATGAGGAAGTTTCACTTACTAGAATAACAGAAGAACAAGACTGCAAAACTAAAAATGGTATAAAAGATGAAATGGATATATGAAATAAATGGAGGTGTCCCTGGACCTGGGAGCTGCTGGCTGAGTCCACCTGCAGTGCCACATCTACTGCACACATAAAGAATGTGCACAACACGCCTATGTGCCATAGGGTAAGGGATGAGCTGAAAGCACACCTCCTCTTCATGGAATGAAATTATGTAGCTTATTACAGATGTTCAAAGACATTTGCTTCAGAGAACAAACTTCTAAGTTGGCTGATTCTTGCATTGCCAATAATTAACCAAAAATTAGGAAGCACTGTCTCCAGACAAACGAGGTCCCAGTGGAAATGTTGCAGCCTCAGGTCTTCAGGATAAACATAACACTTCAGAGAATTCAGCATCTCTTATTGTTTGTTTTAATCTAAGAAGTTCTTGCTACTCTCACCAAACTGAGCTGACAAGAGTATGTTGGTATCACTAAAATTGTCTAATAAGAATGATAAATTCCTTTTAGACTCCTATTGTCTGATTTTGCCAGTTTGAGTAAAAGAAAGAAGTTGTACCTTGCAAAAAGGACTGACAAAATGCATAGACACACTGATCTCAAAGCCACAAGGAATCATAAAATCGTCTAATAAATAAAATCAGCAGTTTGAGGGGCATCACTGGTCTGAGCTTTACCTAGTTGCTTCAGGATCAAATCCTACCATTTGTGTTTGAAACAAACACATCTTCAAGAAGTACCCTGTTCATATTTGAAGAGTGTGAGAGATGAAGAGTTCATCATTTCTTTTGCTACGCCCTTTATTAATTAATAATGAACTACACTGACATAAATCTGTGCTTCTCTAAGCCCTGTTTTTCTTCAATACTCTAAGCCTTCTTATGCTTCTTTCCACTACATTAGAGAGCCCATTTATGTTTTTCCCTAAGAAAGTACTCAAGCTTAACAAAACACATTTCTCTAAATTTATTCGGATGTATCAAAAAAATCTAGTCAATATTAATCTTCCCACTGCACAAAGTCAATGATTACATTAGTGATTGCCGAGCTGCTGCACTGAAAACAAGTGCTCAAGAAAGTCTGAAAGAAAGCCATCAACTTAAGCCCCATTTTCATTAGCTACCTTTTGATGCAAAGTTTTAATTTATGATGCTTTCTCTGATATGTAGGACTGCTTGCATTCTTGGTGAAATCATCTTGCTATTGTTCAGACATCTCTATCAACGTGAATCTTTTTTCTTAAGGACACTGCACTTATTCTGGCCATATGTTATTCTTTATTATTTAACACTTATACGAAAATTAAAACAATTTTATTCTACTGGTAAACATAAGATAAGTATGCCAGCCTTACCATCAGATGATCATTTACAATCATTAACTCAATGTATTTTGTTTCTTCTTCAATTTTACGTGGAATCTGACGAACCTACAGAGAGAATATAACCATGAAAAAGCCTAGTGATGGCAGAATACAGAGAAAGTATAACTGATAACTAGAAACAGTTTCAGCAAACAAGCTTCTCACATATTTTTGTTAATTGTCTTAATTCCGCTTTTAGATTTTGACAATACTTCTTGTGATTAATTATGCCACAGTAAAAAAATCCTTAGCTGTACTCTATGAAGACAATTGTAGGTTTACACGTTTGTCAATTTTGTCTGGATTTGCAGTAAAAATGAGTAAACATATTTACTGTGTAACTGGTTGGGATATTTTGTGGAGGGTGAAAAGGAATGGACTGGGTTTTTTTTTTCAAATATACAGTCCTCGTATTTCACCTCCTCTGGAACACTTGTTTGAGCTTAAACAATGAAATCAAGCATTTTAATCCAATAAATTCCAAGTTTAGGTTTTTTGAAAGACAATTCTCAGCGAGGCCCACATATATAAACTTTCTATTTCACTGAAAAAGTAATCTTTCCTAAGCTATTTTTTATTGCACTGCTTGATTCATACAGTGAATGCAGTACCCACCTCCATCTCACACACTGCATTTAGAAACATTTATGACAGTGCTTCTCCATGGATTTTTCCAGAAGAAAAATCATTACATCATTATGATTCAAAAATGCAGAGTAATGGCTAGTTTAAAGAAAGACAGCAAACCACCTAATGTAAAATAAGATCCTCATGAATGATTTTTGGATTTTTTCCAGTTTCTTTCTCACTTCTTTTCTCAATCTGAGATGGTTACATTACTCAGAGAGAAAGTCATCTTCCCTTCTCACTGCTCTCTGTTTGATGTCGCCAGCACTGTTCAGGCCCTTGAGCCAGCTCTATTTTGACCTGTACCATTATTTCAGCTCCATTCCTAAAGCAAAGAATTGTTTCTGTCTTTCCAAGGTACAAATACAAGTTAATTTCTTCTCCCCTTTAAGAAAATGGAGACCGAAATATCGCTTTAGAATATTTATTTTAAAACAAAGGAAGATAAAATAGGTACTTGTCACCATTGCAACATAAAAGTGATTTGTTAATGTTTCATTAGTTAGGAGTTTCTCAAAAAATACATATCCAAAATAGGATAAAATATTTTATCTATTATTTTTTCCATGTGCAATTTAGCAGTGTTTCAAAATTTTATAATATTGAGAGAAATGCTATTCTTGAGATTCAGCAACAGATTAAATGGAGCCTATGTGAGGAAATAGCTTGTGCTTTTATGAATGTAATGGAGAGGGTCTGCTGTGCTTTGGCCACACACACACATCATAGGGTACCCAAAATTCTCTTGAAATTGACATTGTGGTGGCACCTTAATGAAAGGTGACAACATAAGCACTTAACTATTCAGGTAGGCACTGTACAAGAGAGTCCAGCAATCCCTTGTCAACATTAGATACCGCTTTCTGTTATAGCTATATCATACATAAAGACCTCGTGCCAGTCCAGGAGCAGCAACAGGACTCCATCTGGATGAAACAGTTCAGCAGACACAGAACAAACTTGATAGCATATTACTTATAAACAAGCACATTGGTGCATACCTGCCTTCTCCTTCTTTTGTGCCTCGGCTTTACAACAAACTTCTGTGATGTAGCATTCATGTGCCAGAACTCTAAGCAGAAAACACAGGCAAACCCATTGAGCGTTTACAAAAATACAGCCCAACAATTAGTGACCCCAATGCTTCATGACAGTAGTATGGCATTCTTCCATGCATCAGATGCAGAAGCAACGCCTTTTTTCAATGTTCTAGTTAGAAAGGAGGCAATGTTACAGATGCTTCCCTGTAACACCGTTCTTATTAAAAACTCTACTAGTGATAATCTGGTCTGCTGAAACAGATGATCTGGAGGTGTTGTGCTTCAGAAAGCACAGCAGATGTTCGATGCCAAAACTTCACCAATACTGGGGATGTAATATTAGCACAGAGCTTCCACAGAGCAAATCACATTTTTGGAAATTCAGCAGGCATTCACAGAGCTCTCTCAATAGCTACCTAAATTAATAAGAGCATGAAAGGCAGAATTAACACTTTAAGAAGATTATATCCACAAAGTAAAACATGTTTGAGTTGGGAGAAACGTTGTGGGATTTTGGCAGTGCTCCCTGTCAATACGATATTCTTCCCTATTAATCCCACTGTGTCTTTGATTTGATAAACCTCTATCAGTAAGCACCAAGTAGTTCATTTTTTTTTTGCCAAATCTATTACTAGCCACTGATGGAAAGGAACACAATATAAACCAAATAGAAGACAATGCTTGTTCCCACCCTCGCCCTCACAGCTCCATGGGGGGGCTATAAGAAAAAAGGGGCCAGACTTTTTGGCAGGGTCTGTTGCAATAAGACAAGGAGAAATTATTTCAAACTAGAAGAGGGAAGATTTATATTGGATATAAAAATAAAGTTTTCTATGATAAGAGCAGTGAAGCACTGGAACAGGCTGCCCAGAGAGATGGCAGATGCCACATCCCCGGAGACACTTAAGGCCAGGCTTTACTGAGTACCAGATATAGCTGTCCCTGCTCAAGGTCCCTTCCAATTCAAATGATTTTATGACAATTCTACTTTTCCATCTTCTAGATTCAAAGCATCTCCCTCACCTTTCCCTGTACAATAGCAAACTCCTTCCTTATCTTGTCTAAACATGTTTACTATTTACATAGCCCCACAAAGACTTTTTCTGAGTAAATTAAGTGCTTGTGCATTCTGTAACCTTTTTACTTTGCCTAGTTTCTTTCCTTCGTATTTTCTCTAACTTTGGACACCCTTTAATTCCCCAGGAACTGAAGACTGCAATAATTCCATGGCAATTTTACCAGTCCTATAGAGAAGTAGACAGCACTATGGAAGATGTGCAAGTTAATGGACTCCAGTTCACACACCTTTATAGACAAATTTTGATTGTGTTAAAAGCCCTCAATACTTCAGCTTCGCTAGTATACAGGTTTCTTACAGCACTACAGTTTCTCACCCACTTCTGGTGTTGTATATGACACGTGTGTAGTGCTGCCTGTGTCATGCAATGTATGTTACCCCCCTGTTGACAAATTTGCTGTTCATGAGTGCTGCAGATTGTTCTTATACTGTTAAATCAATTTGCAGTGATATATTTTTTTAACATGCTAGCTATGCATGTAGAGAGCTATTAAATTAAGGTAAATGTTAATATTTCAAACAAGCCAATTAATAATCTTACCTCTCATACTATAGTAAAATACCTGCAATTTCTATTTAAGGTTCAAATACACTTGAATACAGTAATATTTGGAACTTGATAGAGCTGATAGAGCTGTTATGCCAACAAAGGCTTAAAATGAGAAGCTGAATTACCCATCTGACGAAGTTTCACCAGGGATAAGAGCTAATGTTAACCTGGAGTCGCTATTCAGTTATAATGCAAACCATCAAAGCAAAGCTTGGACAACTGGCATTGTCTTGGCTGTATCTGGACAATTATGCTCTCATTTTGGTGCATGAAATTTGCAGATACCCTTCTATGAAGGGGCCTGTGCAATCCTAGGCTTAGGAACATTTTCATGGATACACCAGCACTTAAAGATTTTCTGTACGAAAAAAAGATCCATAATAAATTAAATAATACCCGAGGATTTCTATCTATTGCTTAAAGGCCTGGAGCCTCCAGAGCTCAGAATGATAACAAACCAAATCTTCACATTTTTAAAAATAAATTTATATTTGATTGTTCTTTGGGTATGTTGATTAATTCAGTCTGTGTTTGTGCCTCTGAACCTTTCGCTTGAGGTTTCTTGTATTATCATTAATGAAACTAGTAACAATATAACTTCTAAATCAATGAAATAGTAATTTACAACACGTGTATGGGATCCCGGATAACTTGACCAGCAAACGTGAAGCTTTACCCTGCCATTGGAAGTCAGCCATCTCGAGGGGAATGCTGCAGCCATTAGCACTGACACATTAGTACACATTAACACTGCACCATAACTCACAAGCTGGATGAATTCACACAGGGTCCGTTTCCAGCCAGAGACCCTCAGGCTAAATAACATGACCTGCAAAATCACCCAGGAAATGCAGAGCTGAAAAAGCCTAGTGGAAATTTTGACAGGAAGATATTATCTTGAAAAAAATGTAAGGACAACTCAAGTGACCCCAAAAGGAAGGGACATCTGTTATACACTACTTGAAAAACAACACCTTCAATAAATATTGTTGTCTAAGACAATGCCAGGGCACTGTCTGAAGACAGACTGAGAAAATGTACAGTCTACTAAACTATGCAGTCAAAGGCTCCAAACATGCTAAGTTTTTGGATGAGCTTTCCTTATTTAAAGTCATTGCTTCTACGTGCTATTGTAGAGTACAATACAATTTATTCTTTTCTGCAATAGCTATTTTCTTTTTTGTTTGTCTCTTTCTTTGTTGAATTCCCAAAGGGCAAAAGAATGTAAAAAGTATATTGCTATTGAACTGTGGTAAAATAGTGGGCTTTTACAATTACTGATATTGAGTAATCCCTACCACTTGATTTTTTTCCTTTCTAACATCAATATAGAAGCTCGTGATGCATCCAGTCCATTCCTAATGCAGAGCTGAGTGGAAATCTGAGCTCACACACTCTTCAAAAGATAAAAAGAAAATCCTGACATCAAGGAACAGCTGCTTACGCTGGGCAAATTGATAAATTAGGAAAGTATTAAGGAACATAAGAAATACCGATGCCATAATCTAACACAGTGCTCGCTGTTAACAATAATGACTCTGTGGCAGTACTTCCAAAAATAAAAAAAAATTAAAATGAATCTATAAGACAAGCAGTTACTTGCAAGAATTTCTTAAAGAAAACAACAAAAAAGGAAAGTTAAGGCAATAGAGCACACCACACAGACTGCAGGGAAGACTCGGTGCAGGAGCTGTGCTGGTGGGGCAGTGCAGGCAGGGAGTGAAGGAGGAGGTGGGGTATGGTGTGCTGCGGGGCTGGGGATGAACACCAGAGCTCATACTGAGGAAAGGGTGGACGAGCAGATGGCAGTGGGAACAGCTCTCATCCTCTGGAGCTGTGGCTGTCCAGGAAACATGACTTAAAAACAATCTTACACTGAATAACCAAAGACAAAAATGGGGGGATTTTCAGCCAGAGCATAATTTGTTAAAACTACCAAAACTTCTACAACAAGCCTCAGAATAATGTTTCCAAACAGCTTCACAAAAGCAAATACAAGCATGTAGAAGAGCGGATGAGATACTAAGCACAAAAAGATATCACCTTTTCTCCACATTACAAACATTTCTATAACTCAGACCACTAGCATTCCATAATTAAATCTCCTTTTCAACATTTTAAACAAAGTAATTCTATGACCTCATGATTTTAATTCAATCAAGGGAAACATCTTCCATTTGAAAAGCCAACAACTATTTACTTGTTATCTATGGTAAAAACAGAGCTATGCAAGAATATCTGGATTTCTGTGGAAAAATCTGAAGCCTTATTTTGACAGATCTTTTGAGAATCAAGAAGATTTGGTGGAGGTGAAACAGGTGGGTTCTGCTTGCAATGAATTCCTTTTCATAATTTTTAAAGCAGAAAATAATTATTTTACTCCAGAATCTTGCAAACATAAAATTGAACTATTAAGAAATCTTAGGAGACTGCTGACAGATATCTGTAAGTACCAGCTCTGGAAGTCCCCTGTTTTAACAGTCTGAGAAAGAAGACTCCTCTCAGTCACTCAGCTGTGATTGCATTATTTCCAGACTTCTAAATGACATATCCTTAAGAAACTCTGATACAAGATGCACTCGATCAGTCAGCCTCGTGTTCAATACATTGTTCTCATTACTCTAACATCTCCGCAAGCACACGGAGTAACCATGGATCATGTGTAAGGTGCACATACATAGTAAGCTTCCAGATAGGACGGGGACAGCATGCTGTGCACAAGCACTTTGTGCTGCCCTTCCACCCCATTCCATCCTCTGCCTTGCCTGGCCATAAGAAGCAGGGACATAAGGCACCAAGCTGGGAAAATGTTACGTTTAAAGGCAGAAGGATTGCTTCTCCAGAAGTGAAATCAAGGTGACCCAATTGTAGCAATTCCCTTGGTTGTTTAGGTTTTTGTTTTGTTTTCCCATTAATTCTCTGAACAGTTCTGCTTTGCTTAACAGTTAACAAAGCTGCATACGCCACGCTTCAGAACAGGATGATTCATCTTTTGGGCAGTGCCCAGCATGGTAGGAGACCAGATCCCACTGTTTTCATAGAACAAATAATACTTGTGGCAATAGCACTGGGCAACTGGAACCTCCATCTAAAAAGAAATTAGCCTAGAGTTGATTTCTACTAAAATGAGTGTCTACAAAGGGATAGATTCATTTATCTAGCATTTATTTTATAGTGTAAGAAAATGCATCTGTAAATATTGCAAATCCTTGACAGAACAAGGATAAGTCATAAATACTGCCATTTTTGCTTCAATTAACAAGCCAACTTCTCAGATGAAAACTGATTTTTAAAAATTTCGTCTTATTCCACACACAAACTGAAGTGTTTTGGGGATTACTACAAGAACTTGAAACCACTTCCACCTCCAAGGTAATTTTATTTAAATGAATATCTGCACTACAGTCAGCATCACAAGAGATGCTGAATGAACTGGAAATTAGAGGGCCCAAGAACAACAATAACATACCCCTCAGGCTTACACTCACACCATGATACTCACCCTGTATCTCAAAATGGGAGAAATCCATGAAAAGTTATGAGCTGTTGGCAATGTGAGGTTTATTTTCATCACTTTTAGGCTACCCTATTCCTTTCTTTTCTATAACTCTTAACAAATAATGCAGTCTATAGACTGCAAGACTTGTTAAGTGAAACATACACCACAACGTGAAGGTCTGGGAGGAGTCTGATTCATTGGATTCAAGTTTTTTCAGCCCTTCATGTTCTTTTCCAGTGCCTTCTGTGTTCCAGATCTATTTTTTTCAGTTTGTTTTTTTTTTTTTTTAATAGGAAAGAGATATGCAAATAAACAACTCACTGTCAGAAGATTATTCATCAAAGATGATTAACAAATCTGATCTTAGACTAAAACAAATCAATAGCAATGAATATTAAAAAAATCATACCAGATGGCAGGTCATCCAAAGGAAACTCAAACAACTTGGATTTGTAAACAGAGTGGAAATGGAAGTCATCCTGAAATAGTAAATAATTGCATGCATTAAAAATCAATAATCATGATCTTTGAGCCTTAAAAAGACAATTCTAAAGGGTCCCTTGCTATTCAAAACCTACATTAGGAAAAGTGCAACCTGCAAGGCACCATTTCTTTTCACTCTTCTCAGCTGTGGTGGGATTGCTATCACCACAGTTACATCTTTCATTCGAAGTATGTGAGTACAGCAACAAAGACGTTGAGCACACTTAGAGATGGACTTAGGAGAGCTGCCCAGGGAGCACTGTGAGAATCTTGGGAGCTGCTGCACCCAGAGGAGCAGAGAGCAAAGCAGGAGGAGAGGGATATAACAAACCCAGTGCCAAAAGAGGGGACAGAACACTCACAGACATCTCAAGCTGGCTCCAAGTGACACTCAGCCTCCAGAAGTGCTGTACTGCTCTACTTCCAAGTGTTCTGGAACATGTACATGTATCACTACCTGATTTTTGCAGGATTACTTCTGTCTGTGATTAGGAGGACTCAGAAGCTGAGAAGCTGAGTTAATGAGCTGGTAACGAAGGGAATGAGTCTTATACCTAATCTGTACCAATGAATGCCTGTATTCCACGAAAAAAATACAGCAGGACTACCAGAAGTTCTACTTACATCTGAATTGTAGTTTTCATCTGGTTCAATAAGGTAAGTATGATTTCCATCATAGAACATCCCACTGGCATAAGCAAGAGAAGTAAATTTAAAACAAACATTAGCACAGTATTGAAGTAAGTTTAAGAAGCTCACGTATTTAAAAACAAATATTTCAGAAGAGAAGCAGTTAAAAACGTTTTCAGGAACTGAACATAATTCTGAATCTTTTTTTTGTTTCTTTGCTTTAGAAAGATACTCGTTCCCATGATGATATAGATAGGTTCTACTTTTATAGATAGATTCTACTTTCTCCCACAAATCTTCTCTACAATATGCAAAAACAACACAAAAATCCAGCTTAGTGCCAATCTCATACAGATCTACTTGCAATAAGGGCTCTGCTTTCAGAATTATTCATACAGAAGTTTTCAAACTTGCCTACAGCTTTCCCACAAATAAAAATAAATTGAACTGATCTTAGATTTTCATGGTTTTGATTTACTCTTTCTAAAGTAATATTGCATAGTACCAAGGACAAGGGACATAACAGGATGTTTGAGATGCTCCAGTAATAACAATTACAATAGATGGTCTCTTCTTCTCGAATTAATTCATCTTTCTAGAAAAAGTCAATGCTATATATAGCACTGTATCAGTACAGACATTATGTGATTTTCACGATAAGGAAATTAAAACCTCATCATATGAACTCATCTTATGAGTTGTGATGAAAAATACAGATACTGAGGACAAAGCCTTATGCCACATCCTTGGTTCTGGTGAACCAAGAGCTCTTTCTTAGTGGCACAAAATCTTCATAAGTTCTATTACAAAGTACTGAAGTGTTAAGGCATCCCAGATCAATGAAGACAGCAACGCCAAATGTTCTGGCACTACAACTTGAATACACAGTAAAAAAAACACAGTCCATTCCTACAATTATGCTTTCTATTACGAGCTACTTTAGGTTTATTTATGTAAAGAGGTTAGGGAGGCATTTCTTATATCACTATTTTGATCTTCAAACAAACCAGCGATTTTTTTAAATTTTCCCTTTACAGCAGTGACATACATGCATGGTTGGAATTAGGCTGTATCAGCATGTCCCTTTCAAAATGCTCCTAACAGGACTTTGAGCCTGACTATAAATCCGACCTGCAAGTTAAAACTTGGCACACATTACAGCAGCATAAAAGCATTTATTTATTTAGATTACTCTTTAGTAACCTCCTATACTTTAAAAAAAAAAAATTATCAGAATTATAAATGACAAACCCTGACACTTTTTATTTAACACAACTTAATTTTTAATCAGCAAAATGTTAATTCTGCTCAGGGCCTAATGCAGTGAGTGAAATACTGCCATTTCATTTCTGACTATTTAGAAATGTAAGTGTATATTAAGCTTGTAGACTATGACATCTCCTGGTGAGCATATTTTTCTTAGTATCACTTTTACAAGGTTAACCATTCAGCATTCACAGAAGTAGCTTGGGTTGCTGAGTCTATAACATACTTCAGACTTTGCCATGAGCACACCCACAATTCTGTGCTTATTCTCCAGGAAGAAGCACTGTCTGTGCTCCTAAAATAAATACTCTAGCACCTGCTGAAGGTTTCTGCCTCAGAAAAATGTAAGATTTGGGGACTTTTGGGAAGGTGTGGAACAGTTCATCATGCTAAACCTCCTTCATTTTCATTACAGTTTTAAGGACAGTCTGCAAGACCAAGTGTTGTTAACAGATGACTTCTTGTGTGAACGTTGTACTCAGCAGCACTGGCTTCTGATCAAGTCACTTAATAAAAAAAAAAACAATCACAGCTGACCCTCAGATTTGACTTGCCCCCCATGGCACTTTTCCAATGACTTCAATAGTTTTAGACTGTCAAGGTATCACACTGTGCTAGAGAGAAAGCAGCAGCAAAACACAAGCTATCTAAAAAATCCACATTTGGGTTATTCAGAAAAACAAATTTGCAGACACGAAAGACTAGCTCGCAGTTACAACAGCAGTTTATGTATTTACCACCAGTGGGCAGCAAAATCACAGCACAACTGGTTTCTGTGTGACTGGCCTCCAAAAGCGGAACCGAGCTCAGCTCAGAACTGAGCACAGATCATTTATATCCCAGCAACCAAAGTGTTTTGCATTCAAAGCGTTCTGCATTAACCCACAGGGAGCTGTGGTTACTGCATATCCCACAGAAAGAAAAAATTCCAGTGAGTTTTGGAGTTAAAGTTGTAGAGAAACTTATTCCATTAGCGAAGTCATTAAGAAGAAATTCATCATTTGAGGACTCCATCAGCCAGTCACCTTATTAATTTAATTAATGAAAAGAAAACTACCACACAGACATTACCAACAGAAGAACTCACAATTTATGATTAGAAATACAACATCATCTCTGCAGGCATGTCTGAAAAAATGTCTGTTAAAGGCATCTGTTCTGTCTCATGCATTTCATGCATTTCCTAAAATTCAGTATATATTTGTAGTATTTAATTAGCATTTGAAACAGATTACGGAGAAACTAGCTGTAATGCTGGAGATGCAATGCCAGAGAAGGTAAGGTTAATATAGCTCAGGAAAACAATACTTTCTCATAACAGATGCTGGAATTACCAGCCCATTACAGTAAGCTTCATATTTGATCCTGTGTGAAGGATAACTGCTGAAACATTTCACAAAAAGGAAAAAAAAGAAGAAAAAGCTAACATTCGAGAGAGCTGAATTGTACAGGAAAGAAAGCATCTTTCCTCACGTTACTGTGTTAGAAGAACTCTATTTGAACATTAGGCAGTTTGAGAATACTGAGCAGCAGCAGATCAGTCTTAAGAGGCAACCAGCAAAAGGAGGCCAAGAAAGGACGTGTGCTGCCCCTCCTTCTTTGTTGCACTCTCTCCTAGGAGTTAGCAGGGGCTTAGACCTAATGGATCACTGCTAATGGAAGCCATGAAGCTAAATCCCCTCAAGATGCAGCAGGATGCTGCTATTTTTAGGCTCACTGACACCACCAAACCTGAGGTCAGTTTAATCGAGCTGCTCAACCTTGACAATAAATGAGAGAAGCGCATCTCTAAGTCAGACAATGAGTGCAGGAATGATGGGTCTAATGCATACATTCTCCCCCTTCCTTATAAAGAAAGTACAAATATAAAAGTTACTTAAATATGTGTATGTGTGTGTCTGATACTGAAACTACAGAACAGTTGGAAATGGATAACAATGAAGATTTCTATGAGCTGAGTCCTGCTTCCTTAGGGAAACCAATCTCCACGCTCAGGCTCTCCTTGCTGCCCTGACCTTCCCAGCTGATCTGAACATCGAAAGTGCTGAGGTCCTGTAATTCCCAGAGTCAACAGACACTGAAGGGACTTGGCTGCTCTGTAAACCTGACAAGTATCTTTCAGTAGTGCCAAAAGTAGACATGTCCAAAAGTTGAGAATCAGCACACAGCTCTGTGTAACCTTCAAGTGACAGGTGCTTTAACTACATTACCACTAAAACCATGCACTTTGAAACAATACGCACAATTTTTCATCCTTTATTTCAGATTTTCAAGTTTGACTATCTCAGAGACAAGCACTTCCGTGAAGAACATGGATAGGACTAGAGAAACTCAACACTGACACTTTCCTTTGTAAAAAAAGTAGAAAAGAAAGAATAAATATAGCATTCTAATAATAAGAAAAGAACATAAGTGAATTTTGGATGGTTCATATCAATCTTGGTATTATTCTTCCTGTAAAATGGAGCATTTTCAGCTACTTTCATCTCTCTATTATAAACTATCTTAAACAGTATTTGGTCAAAGCTGTTATCATATGTCCTTAGTTTAAAAAAAAAAAAAAAAAAAGCAAAAAAAAAAAAAAAGAAAGAGAGAGAAAAAAAAAAAAAAAAAAAAACTTGGATGTTTTGGCAGTGGGTCCTGAATAAAACAACACTTTTACAAGGTTCAAATTAAATTAATTTTATGTAAAGGTTATCGAGATAATAATAGTGGTTGCAAACCAATTAATGAACAAATGGCACTTACTTTTTTTCAAACAGCTTTGTTTAAAAGACTAAGTGAAGTTCAGTAAAAACAAAACACCAGACTTACTGTAGTCCATGGCATGTTGACAAGGCAACAAATGACACTGGATTTCCTCGAATTTTTCCCTGATAATAGCAATGTTCTCCTCCCTGAAATTGGAAATCGAGAGCATGAATCCACAGGATGTCCCACAGTATAATGCTCTAACCTGTCCAACACTGCTTTTTTATTATAATATTGCAAAGCCAGGGACATGGCATCAAGAACATAGCAGAGGTTCACCCCATCTCCTTTAAGCCATCTACAAGTTCAGTACAGAGTCAAACATCATCTTCTGGACTTTCTCTATGCTGAATGGAGATGAAAATCTTTAGTGTGAAATCTCTGGCATCTCAAGAAAATTTCAGACACAAATGGCTCCAGAAGCATCCATGTTTCTTCACTGAAGAGAGTTGGAAACAAGGGGCTTAGATGTGCACGTGTTCTGCACATGGCTACATCAGAAGATAAGCTTTGCCCTGAGGGCCAGGCAATTTCCTACTTCTAAGGAGAAAAATGCGCTTATCAAATAATAAGATTTGATTAAGAAGCAAACAAATCTAAAACGCTCCCCAGCACTCCAAAGCTAAAAGAAACTTTAGTTTATATTTGCCTATTCTATAAATACTGTAAATAGAAAATACACTTCTCAGATCAAATCCAGCCAACGTTATTCAACATATCCCCCCGCCCTTAGTTTCACAGAAGTTGCACTGATTGTGGAGTAAGGCTTACTGCATGTGCACTGAATGTATTCAGCACTGCACTGTAAAAAGAACAGGTGAATAAAAACCACACAAAGAAACAGTAGATTAGTAACAAAATTAACAGTCAAACCATAAGAATGAGCTGAAACTGTATGAGGAACAAATCTCTTTCTCCAAAAATTACTTTTGCAGTAATATTCCTGTAAAAGGTTTAACTGATGTCAGCACGTGAAAATAGGAATATACTGAAAAAAATATCAACAGGGAGTTGTACGGACATGTAGCTGTGGAAGGAATTTGGAGAAACAAGACAAATTGGTTTGTTCTCAGAAAATACAGTTAGTATGTATCAGAAGTCAAATTTCAGTTTGCAAAATTGTGTCCTTATAAGCAGGAGAAACATTTATTCATGCTAGGGATCCAAAAGATCCAAGTCGGTGGCTGAAAAGCGGGTTTTGGTCTTCTTAATGAGAATCAAATAAATGCCCAAGATAATACCTCCAAATTAATTTATTTCATAATAAATTCAAGAAAAATGTTCTATGCATACCGATCTAGAAAAGAAAAATACAAGAAAAACAGTTTTAAATTTTTACCTAGGAAAAATGTGATTTAGACACATTCTATTCTATTTAATTAAACCAAGTCAAATCAATTGAATTTGTTGATCTTTTGAGGCTCACAGTAATTCTGACAGAGATAGAAATATAACTCTGATCTCCTCAGTCTCACAGACCTCTTCTTACCACTGCAAAAAAATTATTTCTTTACATTAAGATTTGGGGGATACTTTTATACGTGGACTTATATATTCCTATTAAGATAACGTAAGTCACTTCACAACAATTATAAAAATTTTAGGGGTTTTAAAGCTAAACAGCTATTTTCAAGTATACTTTGCAGTATAAAAAAGAAGGCAAACTTCCTTATAAGAAATCCTTCTATCAGAATACACTAGATGAAGTTTTGAGGTTTTGGACCACCACCTGTCATCATCTCAGCAAAGAAATAAAGAGGTGATGCAGTGAAAGCAGGTGGCACAAGCGCTGGGAAAAGTGATTGCTTAGTGCAATAACAGCATCTCAAGCAGGTAAATCATGCCTGTATCATGGCATTTGGTGGAGAGGGTGCAAACCGTACATCCTAAGTTTAGCAGATTTCACTTCAACAGTCCACAAAACATGAAAGGAGAAGCACTTAAAGCTATGAAGTTTGGGACTGGCTCTGCAGTGAGAGTTCGCACAACTGCAAGGACGCCATAGATTAATGCTTCTCCTAGAACATGTGTAGGTCTGGACAAAAAGTCTCCTGACCTTGCTTCTCTGTAGGCTGATCTTCTTACTCCTGACATGTACTAATGCTACTTTACAGCATGTGCTGTAATAGAGAACACCGTGCTGCAGAAGAATGGCAGTAAGATGTAACACCTCTGAAAGATTAAGCACAATCACCACATAAATCCACTTTCGCTCTATTATTGGAAACATGCAATGAAGGACCAGGGTTGTCCCTCTTCTCTATAGGTGCTTGTAGCAGAATGACAGAAACTGAAAAAAAAAATCTTGCCATTTCAGTTTTTCCTAAAAATACTCTGGTATTATATGAGAATTAAGACTTCCCTCAATAGATGAAATTAGCAGCACTGCCAAAAACAGTCCAGTCAACAGAATCAAGGTCTTTTTGTGAAGAAAGAGCTGTAAGCTTCCCATAGCCACTACATGCCTTTTCTGCCCTCTGAAAAGCAGGGAGTAATTGTCCATCTCAGCAAATCAAACCACCAGGCTGGCTTTTGTCAGCTACTGAAAATGGCTCAGGCTTCAGATGAAGAGGAAATAATGCTGTTCTTCTGACATATGTCACCAAGAGAGATTCAGACTTATTCCTTTCTGCTCTAAAACTGAAAGCAGCCAGACAGGGTCCAGAAGAAAAGAGGAGTTTGACTATTTTGCCTCCGCAAGGCGCACAGCCATTCTCCATGCTGCAGTTAGCACAAGGCAAGACAAGTTCTCTGCCAGCATTCATGGCACTTGGTTATCTGTTGGTGATTTTCAATAGCAATATGGAAAATGTGGAAACTTAATAAGTCTGGCCAGCTAGAAATGGAATAATATTCTACTATAAAAAAAAAAAAAAAACCAACACAAATGAACTCATAGTAGGATCCATTAAAATAAATGAACCATTATGACAGTGGTGGTGAATTCATGATTCAACCTTGGTCTTCATGCTTAAATTGAATAACTGTAGGCAAATTCTAAATTATATTGTTCTACGAACTTCAGCAGCTCCCTGCTGACCGTCTCGTAGCCATTATACTCATGTCAGCCTGAGTTTACTTGCAGCCTATTTGGGTAGTTGGAATGGCTAAGATACTGAAAACATGAGACAGCAGAGATGCTGGTAATGCGGGTAAAGTCTGTTGCCATTTCTTTCCCTTAATATAGCCTGTCCCCTCCCAAAGAAGCACTAGCGGTTGAGTAATCACCAAAAAGGCATGAAGAACACATTAACCACTAGTGAAGGATGGAAATAAATAAAGAACAGCCATTGCAGTCGCTGGTGGTGGAGGTTCACTCCTCTCTGCAGTTTCAGTTACAAAAGTCTTTGCTGACCAGACATTGCCAGTGCTTATTATTCACTGCAGAGACACTATGACCTTCCCAGGGGATGAAAATTAAGGATGCTCATTCATTTACTTTCAAATAACACCTGACATCAGATTTTCAAAGTAAGCAGTTTTCCTGCAATTAGGAGAGGTACTTGCATTAAAACTCATGCTACGCTCGAGCCATTGACCCTAAAATTAATAACTTCCTTCTTCCAGCATTACATATTCCTGTTTTAATACCCATTAATCCAAAGGAAAGGAGATTGCTGGTCTAGCTCAGATCCTACTAACACAGCTCCCTTTTCCTTTGCAGCAGAAAGCTCTCAAAGGCCAGCTAACCACTGTGCTACTTTTTAGAGAAGTGCCAGATAATGATTAGCTTTTTAAGGAGCTACCTATTGCTAGGCATGAGTTTTAAAACTGCTTTCTTAGTAATCACTTAGATCTACTTACAAATTATTGATGCTTGCTCAAGTTTTAACCCATTAATAAGTAACCCAGTGCATGGGAAACTGCAATAGAAGAAATTCTCTATAGCTGACCTCTACAGCCAAAAATGACTCATTATTGATAAGTTTCTGTTTGTACAATGAAAATGAAATGTGCAATGAAAAGTCAAAATTGCACACTGTCCTGTGTTGTTCCTATGGACAGTGAAACTGCATGGAGAGACTAACACCCGTTTTAACTGCCAAGTGCTGACGCAACAGGGGTAGCCTACTGGTGTGGCTGCACTACCTCCTGCAGCTGCCCAGGAACCACCTCAGGAATGTGTCACTGCTCCCTCACAGAACAGGTCTCTGCATTTAGCTACACTGCAGCGCAGACTCCAGAAAGTCAACTGGTTTGAAAATGTGAAAGTGCCCTCACTTTCTAGAAAGACAGTTACCACATGAGCCATAAAACAAAGAACCAAAGTGCAATAGAGTCATTTGGCCATAACTTCATTTAGGGTTTCAAAATTAAAAGTATGAATTCAAAAATTTGAGATAAAGCATCTCCGCTTTCTAGGCTTCTTCCAATGCCCATGTTTCAGAGCTGCTGACAGCACTATCAAAACTACACGTGTACAGAATGGGGTCCTGCACACAGGCAACTCACTCCAGCTGCTCCAGCTGCAACAGGTGACTCACAGCAGTGCCTTCAGCAGATGACACTTGCCATCAGCTCGGATTCCCACTCTGAGGCCAAATGAGGCTTGCATACACCGCCCAGCAGCTACAAAAGAAAATGCTCTTCAAGTGCATCTGCAGGCTATGGACACAGCTTGTGTCAGCACAACACCATCTGGGCCAGGAGCTGCCCTGGCACCTGCTTGGAAGCAGCCTCTTGCCTTCCTGAGTGTTAGGAAAAATGACTTCAATTATCACCTGCTTGAATGCAGATGTGTCAGAAGATAACTGGGCTGGATACCTCCTCCTCCTTACTCTATTAAGTTTATGTCAGCAGGTGTAGCAGTGCATAGTTTTTCTGAGTCAAGGTATTCAAGCCTTTTAATGACAGCCACTTTGCCTGAGTTCTGCATTCTGCAAAAAAGGGAGTAAGTCTTGAAAGGGACATTGAAGACGTTATAATCTACCCATACTAATCTTTCACAGTAGTCCAGTAGCCACTACTGAGTCTGAAGCCAAAGTATAAGCATGTGATGTGCAAGGTTACTATAAACACAACACAGAAGATGAAACGTTGGCATGCATCTACATGGATACCTATTAGTCAGAATGTGGTAAACACCTGAATAGAAAGGAGAAAAGTACTAATCAGATTTCCTTACTGATTCTTCATTATTCCTGAA